GGGGCATGAATGAATTCCCTGAATGAAAGAGCCAAACTGCAGTTAAAGTCCACCATTTAATCATTTGGCAAATAATTCGATTACAGATGTCCATGTAAACACAGTCACTTTCTCCCCTTTGTGTTTGTGTGTGTGTGTTTTTGACTCTAAAACTCGCGCATGCCCAAATAGACACTCCTACACCCTCCCTCTTTAGTTCCTCCGACACTCCCCCCTAAACAGAGCTGGACACGCCCACTTTTCTGACTTTTTCCAAAGTAGAGGTGTGAAAACACCCTGCTGAAACGAGGGGGTTTCATGGCCCTTTAAGGCTTCTTGTTTAACATAGGAAAATCTTTTGAAACTACTTGAGGGAGTAAACAGTGAGTAAATTTTATTTTCGAGTGAACTATCCCTTAAGAAAGGCAATGCAGTGTGTGTTACTCCTGGCTCTCCGCCATGCTCCAAACACATCTAACATTTCCTATTATTTAGCGATCCTTTACTGGACTTATCTGTGGTGTAGAGCACTCTATCCTGTGAACTACAAGTGAGCTAGAGTGAGCTCAGCTCCCCTTGTGTGTAAAAATCATTTTTATAAGGGGTTTAAACACAGGTGTGTGTCAGCAGTGTGTGAATATAACCAGAAACTAATGGTCAAAATGGAAAACACCACACGTATCAGTTTCAAAAGACCATCCAGCAGTGGCTGTAATATACGGTGGTCTGTTCAACACCTGACCTGAAATATAATACATGAGTTATGCTGCTGGTCTGGAGTTCCCTGAAAGCATCTCCTTTTGTGCTGAACAGAAGAACGTCATGGGTCTGGAAAGACACGCAGGTAACTGGAACTGAGTAACACGTGATTTATTTTTCACATCAGGGCTGGGCGATCTGACAAATGTCTCAGACCCTGACAACAATATATCACAATATCACACATTTCCTGTAAAGTCAATTAATTTACAGCTTGGTAACACTTTATTTTGATGATCCATTTGAGGATTAGCAGACTGTCTGCTTAATATATGTTGATACTGCTGCTTAACAGACCTTTAATTGACTATAACTTTGCAAGTACATGGCGCCTTACACTAACCCTAATCCTAATCCCAACCAAAACCCCAACCTAATGCCTAGTTCAGACTGCGTGATTTTAGCCCCAATTTTGGCTCGCCGACAGGTTTTGAGAAATCGCCGACAAATGCCTGAAATCACAGGCAAATCGCTGCTCGTGCACGTGAGTGACAATCACACAGTATGAACGATCAAAGACGCGATCTGAGAGAATCGCAGATGAGTCGCCGATGCCTGCGAGATATTTGGTGTGCTGAATATCTGGAGCTGTCGGCGATTCAAATCATGCCGTGTGAATTGAGTTTTGACTGAAAATAACATCAGCGATCGCCTACAGCCAATGAGAGAGCGGCATTCACTTGTGTGTGTGTGTGTGTGTGTGTGTGTGTGTGTGTGTGTATACCTGCTGCAGGCCAGCGGGAGGCTGGGGGAGAAGGTAAAAGCGCTCTTTTTCAGTTGATTTGGACCCACAAAATGGAGGAAAAACTAGTGGAGGTTTGACAGAACTCAGGAGCACCCGTGTCTGTTTGACGTTTCATACAGAAAGAAATTAGTTTATTATCAACGTTGAGGAGAAATGGCTAATTCCCTTTAAACCCAGGTGAGCAAACATGGACACGTTCTACCCCATTAAAGGCTTCTTTCTCATTATGTCGTTAATAACAAAATATATACTACATGTTTTTGGCTGTGAGGCGTAGTTTGGACGAAGTTGTCGGCGATTCTTCCTATGGTAAAGTCATGCAATGTGAAAGTCCCTGTTGCCGATCCATCTTGCAGTGTAAACAAAGCAGCGACAAAATGCCAGCCCAGATAGTCAAGCAGTGCGAAAACATCTGTGACATGATCACTTTGAAAATCATGCAGTCTGATCTTGGCATAACAGTCTACTTATAATCTAATGAGAATTAGTCGGCATGTAGATGCAATGTAACTTAAATTCAACAAAGAGACCATCAAAATAAAGTGTGACCAACAGTTTATATAAATGCTGAGAACATTCATTTATTTTCTTGTCGGCTTAGTCGCCACAATGGAATGAACCGCCAACTTATCCAGCAAGTTTTTTACGCAGCGGATGCCCTTCCAGCCGCAACCCATCTCTGGGAAACATCCACACACACATTCACTACGGACAATTTAGCCTACCCAATTCACCTGTACCGCATGTGTTTGGACTGTGGGGGAAACCGGAGCACCCGGAGGAAACCCACGCGAAGGCAGTGAGAACATGCAAACTCCACACAGAAACACCAATTGAGCTGAGGTTCGAACCAGCGACCTTCTTGCTGTGAGGCGACAGCACTACCTACTGCGCCACTGCCTCGCCGACTGAGAACATGTACATGTGTAATTCTTTTACACAACCCCAAATCAGGAAAAGTTGAGACAGTATGGAGAACGTAAATAAAAAAGATTTCTAAATTTACTTTCACTTGTATTTCATTGCAAACAACACAACCAATATTATTTAATGTGTTCCTCATGATTGTTTTTCTAAATGAACACATATTCCAATTTTGGTTCTTGCAACAAATTTCAGAAAAGTTGTGACAGGATCAGTTTATGGCTAGTAAACTGGTGAAATAATGATGTGATGTGAAGCAGGTGATTGTATTTATGACTTGGTACAAAAGCAGCATCCAAGAAAGGTCTAGTCCTTTAGCACCAAAGGTGGGCAGAGGATCGCCAGTTTATTAAAATGTTTAAAAACAATGGGAGGAGGAGGAGGACATTTGGATATTTCACCTTCAACAGTGCAGAACATCATTAAAATATTGAAGGAATCTAGAGGAATTTCACTGCGTAAAGGACAAGGGCGCAAGCCTAAGCTGAACTACAGTGATCTCCGATCCCTCAGGTGGTGCTGCATCAAGAATCCTCAACCATCTATAAACAATATCACCACATGGGCTGAGGACTACTGCGGCAAACCTTTGTCAAGTACCACAATACGTAGCTGCATTCACAAATGCCAGTGAAAACTGTAGTGTGCCAAAAGGAAGCCCTATGTTAACAGTGTCCAGAAGCGCCGTCGACTCAGAGGCACCTGGGATGGACCATCACACAGTTGAAAAGTGTACTGTGGACAGATGAATCAGCATTTCAGGTATTTTTTGGGAGAAATAGATGCTGTGTGCACTGGATCAAAGAAGAAAAGGATCATCCAGACTGTTACCAGCAACACGTCCATAAGGCAGGGTCTGTAATGGTATAGGGTTGTGTCGGTATAGGGTTCACTTCTGTGATGCACTATTAATGCTGAAAAGCATACAGAGATTTTGCAGCACGATATTCTGCCTTCATTTCCAGGGACGCCCATGCATATTTCAACAAGACAATGCAAAACCACAATCTGCACACATTACTGTCCTGGCTGTGGAGCAAGAGGATACAGGCACTAGACTGGCCTGTCTACAGTCCCGACCTGTCTCCAGTAGAGAATGTGTGGCGCATTTTGAAGTTCAAAGATTTAATACTATTGCCCACCTTAAGACTTGTTGTCTTCAGTCCCTAAATGTCTGCTGAGGCACACAGATAAAGCTAGCCCTGTTTTGAATCTGCAACTATGCTGACACACAGGCATCTGTAGCTCCGCCCTCTTTTGAAAACAGCACAAACTCATTTGAATTTAAAGCGACAGCCACTAAAACAGCACAGATAGGATTAAAGCCTAATAGGGTCAGTTTCAGAGAGTTATAAGACATTATTAGTGTGGTATTTTGAGCTGAAACTTCACTACACACACCCTCTAGGCACTTCAGAGACTTATTTTATATCTTGTACAAAAAAGGGCTGTAATAGGTCTCCTTTAAATGTTTGCATTTGTTAAAAACTACATAATGCAGCAAATATCCAATATCTAGTCTACTTGGTGAATTCATTCACTATTTAATATTTATTTTAAAGACGGCATGATCTGCAATCAATAGGTGGCCGTCTATGATTTGTTTATCATCCATAAACATTTTACATACACAAACATTCTCTACTCACATCGTCCTCAATGTCCAGGTCACAACCAGCGGCGAGCAGAATCCTCACCACAGCAATGTGGCCTTTATAGGCAGCCAGATGCAGAGGCGTCCTGCCGTTCTGCAAACACACACACACACACACACACACACACACACAGTTTGTTTTAGTGAATTGTGGGGAAATTCCATGTTTCTAATGCTTTTATACTGTACATATGGTGTTTTCTATCACTCCCACCATACACTATGCCTAAACCCAAGCCTCACAGGAAACTCAGTCTGTGTGATCTAAACGCTTCTGAGGAATGAGGGCATCAGTCATGTGCTCATAACTCACCATCTCACTGTGAGACCTGTGTAACACCATGATATTATACACATTTGTGTCTTGATACGTCACTAAACACACACACACACACACACACACACACACACACACACACACACAGACAGAGAATACACACACAGTATACACACAGAGACTCACAAACACACAGGCACACACACGCTCATTCACACACAAACTCACTCTCACACACAGAAACGCACACACACGCTCATACACACACAAACTCACTCTCACACACAGAAACACACACACACACACGCTCAGACACACACAAACTCACTCTCACACACAGAAACACACACACACACACGCTCAGACACACACAAACTCACTCTCACACACAGAAACACACACACACACACGCTCAGACACACACAAACTCACTCTCACACACAGAAACACACACACACGCTCATACACACACAAACTCACTCTCACACACAGAAACACACACACACACGCTCATACACACACAAACTCACTCACACACAGAAACACACACACACACGCTCATACACACACAAACTCACTCACACACAGAAACACACACACACGCTCATACACACACAAACTCACTCTCACACACAGAAACACACACACACACGCTCATACACACACAAACTCACTCACACACAGAAACACACACACACACGCTCATACACACACAAACTCACTCACACACAGAAACACACACACACGCTCATACACACACAAACTCACTCTCACACACAGAAACACACACACACACACACACACGCTCATACACACACAAACTCACTCTCACACACAGAAACACACACACACACACGCTCAGACACACACAAACTCACTCTCACACACAGAAACACACACACACACACGCTCAGACACACACAAACTCACTCTCACACACAGAAACACACACACAGACTCACAAATACACACACACACACACATGCTCATGCACACACAAACTCATACTCACACACAGAAACATACACACACACACACACACACACACACACGCTCATACTCACACTCAGAAACACACACACATGCTCATGCACACACCAACTCACACACACGCACAGTATACACACACACACACACACATACAGGCACACACGCTCATACACACACAAACTCACACACAGAAACACACACACACACACACACACATAACACACACACAACACACACACACACAAAGTATAGACACACAGACTCACAAACACACAGGCACGCACACACTCATACACACACAAACTTATACACAAACATAGACAAACACACACTCATACACACACAAACTCACACACAGAAACACACACACAGTATACAAACACACACTCACAAACATACAGGTACACACACGCTCATACACACACCAATTCACACTCACACATACACGCATATAGTATACATACACACACACAGACAAACACAGATTCATACACACACAAACTCACAGACCCACACTCATATACACACACACACTCTCTCACACACTTACTCCCACACACACACACATGCACACAAAGAGACAAACATACACTCAAAGACACATATACACACTCTCTAACACACATACACAATGCACACACAGAAAATCAGCCACTGAAACAAACACAAACTGTAATGAAGGCTATATATATATGTGTGTGTGTGTGTGTGTGTGTGTGTGTGTGTGTGTGCGTGTGTGTGTGTGCGTGCGTGTGTGACCGAGCGGCTCGCGTGACTGTGATGAGCCTCAGAGTAAATCTGCAGATGTCTGCGCTGAAGCGGTAACAGTGTTTACATAACGAGCGACTGAATAAATGCATGAGTTAGCATGAGCGTGACATCATCAGTCCTAATCTCTCAGAGGACCAGCCGTATGCTCCTGCTGCCAGAAGAGCCCGTCACAGAGACAGAGACTTACGTAACACTCCACACACACGCTGCTGATGCGTGGCCTGATGCTTTTAGTGTTCACTGAACGTGTATCAGGGTGGATATTAAACGCGCACACAAACACTGACGACAGGTTATTTCAGTAAACCAACACTAAAACTAAAGAACGTTTTCGTTAACTAAAATAGAGTCCAACTTTAAGAACTTTTAGAGTCGCTCACTGTGGAAATGAAGGTCTAACACAAGTCATTCATGCCGTCCCAACACAAATCCATTAAGTCAACATGACACATTTAAACTGAACATAAAACAATTAAGTTGTCCTCAAAAAATCTGCCTCAAGATTTGTGATCATTCTAAAGAAGTAGCTTGATCAAGCAGCAAAGGCTTTTTTTTTAGATTCCAACGTTACTAGAACATAATCCTGATGGTATGATAACTGTGGAGAAAAGGGAATTTATTTTAATCACTGAACTGAGCTAAACTGAACTGAACTTAAACACTAAAAACTAAACTACCATTATCCAGTTACTATGACCATTTATGTTCAGCTGCTTTGACACAATCTACATTGGAAAAGCGCTATACAAATAAAGCTGAATTGAATTGAAGGGTTCCTAAGAGGTCCTAAAAGGTACATATTAATACCTAAATAGGACAAATGTGTACCTCATAGTACTTTAAAGGTATAAAAGTGAGCCTTACAATGATAAAAGTGTATCTTACAGGTACTAATGTCCACCTGTACGGCACAATAGTGCAGCTTCTGAAAAAGTGCCACCCCAGTGAGAGATTTAGTCCCTTTATTTTTGAATGTGTAGTGTATTTTCAGCAGCACAGCATTAAATATTAAGAGACTAAGAGAACATCAGGAGATAAATAAATAAAATTGCATCATCATCATCATCGTCGTCGTCTTCATCTTAGAGGTGTTTATTTTACTCTTACCTCTGCTTTACCTCTAGAAAATAGCCAGTGTTGAGCTGTCTGACCTCAGTTACGGTTTAGAGATCTGTTGTCCTTACTTGTCCTTCCTCTTTCAATAACAACTAAAAATTCTCAAATTATCAGATCGATCAGTGTTTCGTGACCTGGGGGTCGTGACCTCCACTAGGGGTCACCAAAGATTTATGAGGCCTCATTAAAGTCACTCAGGAATGAAGCCAGTTTAGTTTGAAGACAAACTAAATGATGGTTAGAATAATAGCGTATTTACAGCACTTTAAAAACAAATGATAATAATAATAAACAATAGTAAATGTCTCACAATCATGAATAAATGATGATGAAAAAGTATTAGCATAAACAATATTTCACCACATCAATAAATTAACAATACAGCATGAAATAAAACAGCAGACTTGTTATTTTCTCCACACTATATACAGTATATCGGCATAATGCACAGCTCATTCGTTTTCTTTTCGGCTTAGTCCCTTTATTAATACGGGGTCGCCACAGCGGAATGAACCGCTAACTTATCCAGCACATGTTTTAAGCAGCGGATGCCCTTCCAGCTGCAACCCATCACTAGGAAACACCCATATACTTCCATTCACACACACACACACTACGGACAATTTTAGCCTACCCAATTCACCTGTACCGCATGTGTTTGGACTTGTGGGGGAAACCCACGCCAACACAGGGAGAACATGCAAACTCCACATAGAAACGCCAACTGACCCAGCTGAGGCTTGAACTAGCGACCTTCTTGCTGTGAGGCGAGAGCACTACCCACTGCACCACCGTGCTGCCCTTCACCTATTCTCACATCATTATTATTCATTCATTTTCCGTCAGTCTAGTCCTTGATTGATCAAGGGTCGCCACAGCGGAATGAACTACCAACTACATCATTATTATACTTCACAGTACTGAGGTTAAATTTATTGACAACTTCTCAAACATGACTCAAATTGTGCCAGAGGAAGGTAAATAGACATGTAAATATATAAATAAAAGAGTAAACAAAAACAAAAGTAAGTAAATAAGTAAGTAAATAAGTACATTGTCATCTTCAGTTCATATATTCATTCATTTTCCTTCCGCTTTATTCATTTATTCATCAGGGGTTACCACAACGGAATGAACCGCCAACTATTCCAGCATATATTTTACACTGTGGAAGCCCTTCCAGCTGTAGCCATGCACTGGGAAACACCCATACACACTCATTCACACACACACGCTCATACACTACGGCCAGTTTAGTTGATCAATTCCCCTACAGCGCATGTGTTTGACCTGTGGGGGGAAACAGAGTACCCGGAGGAATGCCAAGCCAACACGGGGAGAACATGCAAACTCCACACAGAAACACCAACTGACCCAGCCGAGGCTCGAACCAGCGACCTTCTCGCTCTGAGGCCACAGAGCTAACTACTAAGCCATCTGTATAAATATATAACGCCAAAATAACGCCAAGTATATAAATAATTAAAAAGTAAAGAAGCAAGCAAATAAGTAAGCAAATAGTTAAATAAATAAACGTAAATACGTAAATAAATTACAAAATAAGTAAGCTATTAGTTAAATAAGTACGTAAAGAAGTAAATAAGTAAGTAAATAAGCAAAAAAAGTAAACAAGTATGTAAATATGTAAGAAAATAAGCTAATAGTTAAGTGTGTAAATAAGTAAATAGATATTTAAATAAGTAAACAAGAAAATAAGTAAGTAAAAAGTAAATAAATAATAGTATCCAATCATAATTCTGCACACCTGGGGCCTCATGTACGAAGACTTGCGTGGAAATCATACTAAAACATTGCGTACGCACAAAGCTGTAAATGTGCGTACGCAGAAAAAAATTCAGATGTATGAAACACTGCGTACGCCGAATCTCACGCATATTCTCTTGTACATCTGAATGAACGTGAAACTGAGCGCAACATGCACGAGCACAAAACCCCTCCCTGCCTCCTCCCCCGTATGAATATGCTAATGACTATGCTAATGGAAAAACCCAACGAAAAAGCAACGGCAAAAGCAAGCAAAAAGAGAAACTTTGAACAATATGTGAATTGGAGGTGCTGCTTTCGGAGGTAGACCGGAGAAAAGCGGTGTTATTTGCAAGTTTGTTCACCGGAATTAACAACAAAAGAAAAAAAAGAGTGGGAGAGTTTAGCTGATGCGGTTAACACAGTTGGGTCTGAACATCGCAATGAATTAAAAAAGAAATAGTGTGGTTTATAGGTGTAAAATGTTGTAGTACCCTTAACAGTCTCAGTGGCGCAGCTCGTGAAGCGCTTGTCAACATGTTTTGACACGTTCGAGCATGAACTCGGTTCGAATCAAGCGTCTGATGAACTCATTCTTCTTTTTTCCCCGCTACATATCAGATTTTGCCTACTATTTATCACGAGAAAGACAAGTAGGAATCATTAATAAGTTTGTGCATCATATTTTATTTGCACATTTATTGAATGGAAATGTTTCTGATTCACGCATGCAAATTCATCTTCAGATAGTGTCTTTATAGCAATGTGCGTGCAGTAGATCTCTCAGATTACATTGGGAAAACAGGCGACCGCTGCAAATTGCGCTTTAATGTTTAGCTGGTCAACTGTATGGTATGGAAACCTTATATACCTGCTAGATGAACCCGTCTCATACAGCTGCCATTGCACGGCTCAGACACTTTGTAGAGAGGAATTTAACACAACTGCCTCTAGGAGTCGCCAATGGAAATAAAACAGACACGCACAAAAAATGTGGATACGCCAGCCATGAAGCTGCGCACATTCCCACGTTCAGTTCATCGTTAGTACATCCAAACGTGAGCGATTCTGAGCGTGAAACCTGACGTACGCAAAGTTTTTGTGCGTTCGCAGCGTTGATACATGAGGCCCCTGATGTTTTTCTGGTATAAAATACTTCCTCGATTTCCAACACAGACATTTCTTGTTTGTTTTTGCAGAGTGCATATAGTGTATCATTACTGTATGATAACAGGAGCGAACAGGCGGCTGTTCACTAGTTATGGAAGCTGTATATATAATTACTGCAGGGCAGAGGGCACTGTGTGCTGATTACAGCTCAATTCAGGTCAGATGCAGAAATGCGTAACATGCATAACAGATATACGGGGAGAGATGCGGTAGGCCAGGACTCATCAACACGAGATGCGAAATATTGACATGTGACATAAAAATCACCTCACAGGACGAGCAACATCATAATAATCCTATTTCAGGAACACAATACAATGCAAGATCAGATTGTGTTCGATGATTAGGACTGTTTTGAGATTATTAATCTTTATTTTCTTACTAAGTGAAGCTTAAAGTTAAGTATTTTACCATCAGATTAAAAGTCATATCAATCAGAGACCAGCCTTGTATATTTATTAGGCGTGTAACGATTTATCGTTGTACGATTTATTGCGATGCAAAAATGTCACAATATGCATCGAGGCGTTATGACGATTTGATTACGATATGACGTCCGTTTTCTCTTATTAGTTGAGCTGTTTGCACGTGAGCTACGTTCCACCTGCTGTCGCACGTGAGTTCAGATTGCAGCAGCAGTAATGTTAGCAGACCAAGATGAGTGGAGCTGAAATAGAGGATGGCCCATCCTCTCAAAATCAGACGTCTGGCAACATTTCGGTTGTACAGTCATTGCTTTAGACTCGTCCGCTTTTTAACACGCATACAGGGTCAAACATCCTAAGTTTTAAAGTCTTCACAGTGATTTACATACTTTGCACAGCGACAGGGATACCTCCTAATGGTGTTGAAAGAGTCACATACTGTATTTATAAGGTACAATTCACCCTAAAATATCATTCTGTCTTCATATAATGTTCCCGCCGCAAAATCACACATGACGTGAGCTGACCGTGAGCTGTTACTACAGAGGGCGGACTTTGATAGAGGCGCGCGTATGGCAAGCCGTTTTAGCATTTAAACCTTTGTTCTGACTATCCATAAATATATTTAGAGATATCTCTAATTATATTTTGACTAGTCATCATTATAATTCGACTAGTCAGAATGACAATTAGAGATATCTGCAATTGCAATTGTACTAGTACGAAATCAGATTGGAGATATCTGCAAATATATCATGACTAGTCTTATTCCTCCATTGACTTCCATTGAAAAATATTTGCAGATATCTTTAAATGAGTTTTGATTAGTCACAATTGTAATTAGAGATATCTCTAAATGAATTTATTTAAATATGAATTAAATACCTGGAAATGTGGATTTTTTTTTGCACACACAAAAAAACGCAAGTGACCAAGCAAAGCCTTAAGCTCTTACTGTTAAATTCAATTGAATAGAAAGCTTATTTTTTTGCACCTTTACTTAAATTGTTCCTTAATTTTGTCTCTGTCATTTCAATAATATTTTTTAAGAAGTTTTTAAATAGTTTTATTTTCCAGAGACAGGCCTGTTTAATATATTTTCTAAAAGAAGGTTCAGTTTAACAAGTTGAAACAAAAGAAATACATAAAAAATAGTTTACTTGGTAAAATTTGCATTTCAGTTAAATTTTAAATTTTTATTCCAAATATCGTGATACATATCGAACCGTGAACATTATATCGTGATACACATCGTATCGTGAGCTGAGTGTATCGTTACACCCCTATTATTTATGACTCGGTTTTAGCTGTAATAGCGGTTTAAGTTTGCCTTTTTAAAAACGAATCAAGTGACGTTATAAATACTTCTGAACTTTCTACTAAAAGGTTTAAGAAAAGCGCTGCACTGACCTTGGTAATGGCTACCTTGGCGCCTCTGTTGATGAGCTGCACCACATGGTCGGCCTGGCCCTTGTGCGAGGCTATGAGGAGACGCTCAGAGAGAGCCCGCACACAGGAGGCATCGCGCTGGCTCATGAATCAGGGGGAGACTCACTGCTGCGCTCACACAACGGGAACCAGTCCCTCGGCCACGGGATGAGAGAAGAGACGAACCATAGATGTCCAGCGCGTGGAGGGATCCAGCCCTCATGTCCTGAAGAGAATCCTGCAGGAAAACAGGAAATGATGCGACTGACATAACAGCACATTTCCAGAGTACGCAACAGCGGATGCGAGTGAAGACAATGTGACACAACAGCAGGCCGGTCTGTGCAGCTGTGAGCCCATTTCTTACTGGTTAGTTGTGGTTGAAGAAGATTTATTTATTCTCTGAAAGTGTGCATGTCAACCTGTATAAGCAGATGTAGATAGTTAGAAACATGTGCAGTAGACATGCAAACCAGTATATAGATCACAAAATTAGGTCATCCATTTTCTTTTCAGCTGAGTCCCTTTATTAATCAGGGGTTGCCACAGCGGAATGAACCGTCAATTATTCCAGCATGTGTTTTATGCAGCGGATGCCCTTCCAGCTGCAACCCAACACTGGGAAACACCCACACACTCTTGCACACACTCACACACACACTACGGACAATTAAGCAAATTCAGTTCACCTGTACCACATGTGTTTGGACTGTAGGGGAAGCCGGAGCACTCGCAGGAAACCCACACCAACATGAGGAGAACATGCAAACTCCGCACAGAAATGCCAACTGACCCAGCCAGGGCTCGAACCAGTGTCTTTCATGCTGTAAGGTGATTGTGTTACCCACTGTGCATCTGTGCTGCCCCCATATATAGATAGTCAGACGTATATTTGAGAAGAACTGAAGGTGATAACTCTGGTACTGGACTGACAAGAATGCGATGACAAGTAAAACTTTACTCTAAAACAGTAAGCCCTATCATACTTCCGGCGCAGCAAAGGTGTAGGACGTGTTTTGTGCAATTTGTTGCTAATTAGAGACCAACACAACCCTAATTTTCGCTTAACAAAGGAGATTAAACATGTGGGCTAATGGATGTGTTCAGTGGAGCGAGTTTCCACCGTTTCCTCACTCCACCAAAGTAAAGGAGTAAAGAGGAAAAGTAAAGTAAAGAGGCTGAATGGAGGAGGCTCGTTCTTTATCCTCCCGCTGCAGATGCTCTGTTTAACTGTTTTCTCACTAGTGAAGTGTTCAGTTTATGTAAATAGCAAATGCACCATGGAGCGACACAACTGACTCTTAAAGGAAACGAGAGCAAGACTCTGATTTGATGAATGTTATGTTCAAACATACCCAAAACTTATTCATTAAAATGAGCACAACCTTGTTAGACCATGAGGCACAGCGCAAACCGCATTTATCCATCCTTGAAGCTTTTGCACCATGCGCTTTAGACTTTGCACCTAGATCGTTAAAATAGAGCCCTAAGAGTGTGAAATAAACACACACACACACACACACACACACACACACACACACACACACACACACACACACACACACAGTCTACTTATACCCACACACCTATGAAACAGAGAAAAGTTTGATAATTTGTGCAACAAAACGAAGTAAGCAGAGGTGAATTACTGCATGAATATTAATTATTACAACCACACTGTCACTAAACTAAAAATTTAATAGAACAAATATTACTCAACAAAAATAAATTAGATGGAAGGCGGTCGTCTCTTTTTGAACGCGAACATAGAAATTTACAGTAGATGTCGCATAGGCTATTGCTGTCTTTTGGAAGGAATGTCAATAGAGCCGCCATCTTGGTACAGGGTTGCGCTCCTCTGACATAAATGTGGGACCAAGGTGCAGTGGCGGATTGGCCATCTGTAGCCATTGATTACACATTTATACACACATAAGTGTGTGATCTTGAGTTTCCCCGTCGCAACGACGCGTAGCGCAAGCTCTGTGATTGGTCGGCTTGGTAGCGCTGACGAGTCTGGGCGGGACAGAGAGCCACGTGAGCGGCGCAAAACCAACGGAGCGATTGTTTACAAGTGTGGAGTCCCGTGAAGGAGCTCCAGATAGAAAGTGTTGTTCTGTGTTTACCTCATAGTTAAAGTTGTTGCACGTCCGCCGGTTCCTGCCTCAAAATGAGCGAGTTTGAGTCACTTGTACATCCCGGAAGTGTTCAGGAAAAGCAAAACAGCAGTGAAGAAACTCGACACAGAGGAAGATTTACACCTCACTGTCAACTAGCGTTTCGGAAGTGTTAATGCAGACCAACAGAGACAGCAGCAGAAGTATAAATGCACAGTCATGCGCGTTGCATGCGCCGTGGGTTACGCCGGTCACTTGACGCAGAAGTATAAACCAGGCTAAAGAGCGAGTGTTTGTGTGCATGGAAATGTATCATCCTCCCTCTCTGTTAAATTCGGTCTATGTACATCCCCCTTTCACTTTTAAGTTACGGTGGGAGCGTTTCGTTTAGGAATGAATCTCCGTTATGTGAACTATTGATTTCCCTGCATATTAATCAGCACAACATCCACCTTTATGCTCTAAATGGTATATCACATTTGTAACCTTCAATAACTTAGGGTGCACAGTATGCACATAAGTTCCTTCAAAAACTAGCCATTACTTCACTTAGCCGACAATAATACACGTTTCTGGCAGCGCAGCGTCTTGTTGTCATATTTCATCTACATTTTAGCTGGTTTTCTAGCATAAGTCTAGTATTTAGTGCGCGTTGGTGCTACTTTGCCTTATGGTCAGTGCAGTAAGAGACCGTATTATCATCAATATAAAATCCTAAAAAATGAAATCTCACCTATGAAATGTTCTGCCTTTATGCTTTGTTTTCTTGGTTTGCACGTTGCTACACTCGTACACAGCGCTAAAGTCCAGCATCTTCACATTGGCACACTGTCTGTCTTGATTAGTGCATGTGAATGACTTTAGTCCTGGGAGCACTGTACCAATATGGCGGCGCTATTGAGGCACGCTCAAGGCCCGTATGCAATATCTAGTGTCTATATCTATGGAACACAAAGACCACAGTTGTGATTCGTGAGAGTTGATAATGAGATTTTTATTTATTTTGATCATTTAGGTTGATTGATGTATTAAATATGAGGTAGTGGGCTTCATATATGGGTAAAACGTAACAGCATTGGTGTTTCGTTTACTGCAAACACATGCTAGACTTATATCAACACACAATACCATTGTATCCACACAATAACATTTCATCGAAAACATTACCGTTGAACGTAAAACTTTAATGCTACAGTATGTGACAACTCCACAAATGCAAACACATTGTGGAAATACCATTACATCAACCCTACGCAGTATGCACACTTTTTAGTTTGTCTTTGCTGTAAATTATTCAATACACAAACCTGGCTGAGTGAGAGCTTTAAGTGTGAACGCAAGAGAAATAAGCAGTGTAAGATCGAGATCTTCAAAGTCCACTGAGAGATTTATCACGAACACTGATGACCACTGTAAAGGCCACAGATGTACTATGGCAATAATTCAGAGAGCCGCTGACATGAGCGAGTCCAGGCAGAACCCAAACGCCGCAGACACACTTTCACAGTCCTCAAATCATATCTTCAGGAGCTCTCCAAAACGGGGACTATTCATCTTACTGATATACTGAGAAAATCTAAACTATTAACCTGAAGAAAGGCGTATATGCAAACATTTACTAGAGGATTCTTTACAGTAGTATATTTGTGCATATACCGTTGAAGTCAGAATTATTCGCCCCCCTGTTTATTTTTTTCCCAATTTCTGTTTAATAGAGCAGATTTCTTCAACACATTTCTTTTCATAATAGTTTTAATAACTCATCTCTAATAACTTGATTTTCTCTTCGCCATGATGACAGTCAATAATATTTACAGACTGACTGGAAACTGCATTTATAAAATAGTTTAGTTGTTAACGAAGACAACTCAAAATCGAACATTAATAATGTGCTCGACCAGTTTAAATATGTTTACATTTGTAAAGGAAGCAGCTTGTCCTGTTATTCGTTTTCTCGTTATTTGCACAGTGTAGCCTTCTGTGGCGTTTTTAAATACATATTTCTGTCATTTTGCCTTCTTTAAATACAACCTCAAGTCTCTCAGAGATCATGAAGACGATAACAGTATTGCAATGGTTGCAGGCCTGTGCAGAGACCTTCAAAGGGGCATGTGCAGGAAAACTTTTTGAATTTTTTATTTTTTTTGGGGGGTGGGGGGGTGGTTGGGGTGTTTTCCCACTCGACTTTAAGAGCGGAGGGGGATGGATATGTCGCGCTCGAACTGAAGAGCTGGGGGGTGCTCAAAAACTGAAGAGTGGGGGGGTATGGGGGGGTGTCGCTAGGTCACTTCAGATCACTTTGGAGGGGCACTTTCTATTCAAGAGTAAAGGCTGATTTATACTTCTGTGTCAAACGCCGGCGTATGCTACTGTCGTGCACCTTTCAAAAATTTTAACTACACGTTGCAACGACGCGTAGAGCAAACTCTGTGATTGGTCGGCTTGGTAGCGCTGACGAGTCTGGGCGGGAACCGAGAGCCGTGTGAATGGTGCGAGCCTGATGGAGCGATTGTTTACAAGTGTGGAGTCCTGTGAAGGAGCTCCGGATGGAAAGTGTTGTTCTGTGTTTACCTCATGGTTAAAGTTGTTGCACGTCCGCCGGTTCCTGCCTCAAAATGAGCGAGTTTGAGTCACTTGTACATCCCGGAAGTGTTCAGGAAAACAAAACAGCAGCGAAGAAACTCAACACAGAGGAACATTAATGCCAACTAGCGTTTCGGAACTTGCACTTGATGCAGAAGTATAAACCAGGCTTAAAAGGGGCATGTGCACTGCACAGGTTGAGCCCTATGTGTGCACGTGCCTGAATGGTTGCATTAATCCCCAAAGCCCACGTCATCCTCAACACCGCTAACATCATAATACGACTAATGCGATTGCTGATCATTATACCAAGATCTGAGCCCGCGTTAGCTTCATTAAGACCCTATGACAGAGAAACAGGAGAAGGACGGGAAAGCTTCAGAGTGCTAAAGTGCACTTATCAAAACGTAATTTATCAAAATGTGTCTTGCAGTGCAACGTCTACACTCATGTCAAAAAACATCACGCGTGCTGTTTTCCTTGCTCACGCGTGGAGTAATCCTCGCTCCATTAAACATCACCTGGGAAAGATTTAAAATAATACAAAACATTAGACAGGAACGTAAATAAAATCACCTTCTGCTGTATGTGAATATGACCAAAACAGTATGTGTGATACTTGAATAAGCATGTTTATTTTATTTAAGGGTCCCTGATCCTCCTTTTATTGTGAAATATACACATAAGTGGCAGCAACGCTAGACTATCATTTCCTAACAGGACGTCCTTATTTTCCTGTTTGAAACTTTATCCCAGTGATGGCTGGTCATAATAATCCTTTCTCCTGCAGCGAGAGTTTCGTTTTTCAGCTCTATTCAGAGGACTCGAGGTGTAATAATGATAAATGGTCTTGCCGGGAAATGTCTGAAGTCTGAAGTATGTGTAGCTCACAGGCATGCAGCGCAGGAGTTTGAGTCAAATAAAAGACATTAAAAATAAGAGAGACCATTGAAAAAATAGTTTGCTTTACTTAAAGAAAGTGAGTAAACCTGTTGCTTTTAAAGCGAGTAGTTGACTCTACTTAAAGAAAGTGAGTAAATCTGTTGCTTTTAAAGCGATTAGTTGACTCTACTTAAAGAAAGTGAGTAAATCTGTTGCTTTTAAAGCGATTAGTTGACTCTACTTAAAGAAAGTGAGTAAATCTGTTGCTTTTAAAGTGAGTAGTTGACTCTACTTAAAGAAAGTGAGTAAACCTGCTGCTTTTAAAGCGATTAGTTGACTCTACTTAAAGAAAGTGAGTAAACCTGCTGTTTTTAAAGCGATTAGTTGACTCTACTTAAAGAAAGTGAGTAAACCTGCTGTTTTTAAAGCGATTAGTTGACTCTACTTAAAGTGAGTAAAACAGTTGTTTTTAAAGCGATTAGTTGACTCTACTTAAAGAAAGTGAGTAAACCTGTTGCTTTTAAAGCGATTAGTTGACTCTACTTAAAGAAAGTGAGTAAACCTGCTGTTTTTAAAGCGATTAGTTGACTCTACTTAAAGAAAGTGAGTAAACCTGCTGTTTTTAAAGCGATTAGTTGACTCTACTTAAAGAAAGTGAGTAAACCTGCTGTTTTTAAAGCGATTAGTTGACTCTACTTAAAGAAAGTGAGTAAACCTGCTGTTTTTAAAGCGATTAGTTGACTCTACTTAAAGAAAGTGAGTAAACCTGCTGTTTTTAAAGCGATTAGTTGACTCTACTTAAAGAAAGTGAGTAAACCTGCTGTTTTTAAAGCGATTAGTTGACTCTACTTAAAGAAAGTGAGTAAATCTGTTGCTTTTAAAGCGATTAGTTGACTCTACTTAAAGAAAGTGAGTAAACCTGTTGCTTTTAAAGCGATTAGTTGACTCTACTTAAAGAAAGTGAGTAAACCTGCTGTTTTTAAAGCGATTAGTTGACTCTACTTAAAGTGAGTAAAACAGTTGTTTTTAAAGCGATTAGTTGACTCTACTTAAAGAAAGTGAGTAAATCTGTTGCTTTTAAAGCGATTAGTTGACTCTACTTAAAGAAAGTGAGTAAACCTGCTGTTTTTAAAGTGATTAGTTGACTCTACTTAAAGAAAGTAAGTAAACCTGCTGCTTTTAAATTATAAGGAAAATAAATTATGTGCGTAATCATAAAAAATTAAGTTAAGTCAACTTAGCCTTTCTTTTTCAGAGATGGGTTGCAGCTGGAAGGGCAATATGTTATATAGGTTGGCAGTTCATTCCGCTGTGGTGACCACAGACTAATAAAGGAACTAAGCCAAAAAGAAAATGAATGAATGAATGAACTTAGCCTTTCCAGGCTGTAATGAACCTACTCACTTTTTAAATAAGTCATCTTGTCGCTTTTAATGCAACGGGTTTACTCACTTTTTTAAAGTAACTAATCGCTTTTTCCACTAACAGTGTGTGTTAATTGAATTTCTGTGCTTACTAGATTGTAACAAAATTATAGCTATGCAATTGACGCCGTTCTTTTTACAGTGAATCTCGAAAAACATCTCGATATCAAGTCATTTTCATACTGACATTTAATGTTGACATCATTATTTGTTTGTTTTCCGCTGGAAGGGCATCCTGTGTAGAACATGCTGGATTAGTTGCCGTTTTTTATTTTAAAGGGAGCTAATAATAATGACTATAAAAATTGTCAAAATGTGAAATAGCTTTTATTCCAGTAAAACTGAAAGAAATAATTAAGAAAAAATATGATCAATTGAATTCCAGAATATTATAAATGTTTCCTAAAATAAAATGTATTGTGTTCAAAGTGGAAAGAAAGTAGTTTTTTACCCAGACATTTAAAAAGAGTATATATTAGAGCAGTGATCACATACCGTGATTCTTATCCAAGGTAATCATATCGTCAGAATCTTACACCGGCCCATGCCTACTTGAGAACTTTTGTATATGATCTAAAGAAATCTCTAAAGAGCGTGACACCACCACACCCTTCACATCTGAGCCAGAAACCCCTCCATCACACAAAAAGCTCCAGATAAACGATACAGAGGAAAACTCTGACGCATAAAGACACATCCATTAAAGAATCGCAGAGTTACTCTGAGCTAGTTCAGACACTAAATGTCTCACTCAACACTTAATCCTGCATTAGCATAAGGTTACACCGAGCTCAGTCTGTCAGAATAAAGTAAATCAGGCAAAAACACAAGTGGTGTGGGTGTGGATGACTGACTTACTTTAATAAAGCTTCGGATTAAACTGCGTTTCTGAACAAACAAGCCCTAGCATGGTCACAACACTCCGGAGAGAATACAAGTTACCGTTATTGCTCATAATGTAAAATCATTAGTCTACACACACACACTCATACACTACGGCCAATTTAGTCCATTAATTCCCCTACAGCGCATGTGTTTAGACTGCGGAGGCAACCAGAGGAAACTCATCCCGGACTCGAACCATGCAGCGATTTCCTTGCTGTGAGGCAACAGTGCTAACCACTGAGCCACCGTGCCACACCAAAGATAACATAAGATTATAGAAATAACTTCATTTACAAAAACATTAGATATCAGCAGCTGTACCGCATGAAAGATACTACAGTGATCAATAGTAAATACAGTGCTTTTAAACCATACTACACTCTCAGAAATTAAGGTCACCTTCCCAAAGGGTACACATTTGTGCCTGAAAGGTCCATATTAAAACCTCGAGGGTACATATTGGTACCTAAAAACTACAAAAGTGTTCCTCTTAAAATTTGTAGGTACTATTATTATATACTTTTGAGGTCCCAATATGACCCTTTAGGTACAAATGTTTACCTTTTGACAACTCGCGTACCTTTATTTCTGACGGTGTATGATATACTAACACTGCTTAAATTCATCTGCTGTGGTAATTCCAGAGGTGCTGTGGTAATAAACCAAAACTGTAGTAAAATATAAGAGTCATTGAATTGAATGAACTAAATTGACCGAAGTGTATAAGCGTGTGTGTGAATTAGAGTGTGGGTGTTTCCCGGTACTGGATTGCTGCTTCAGACATATGTTGGATTAGTTGGTGGTTCATTCCACTGTGGCAAACCCTGATAAATACGGCACAAGTCGAATGACCCTGAGTTTTCGACAATACACAGTTTACTGTCATTCATTCATTTATTTTTGTCTTAGTCCCTTTATTAATCTGGGGTCACCACAGCGGAATGAACCGCCAACTTATCCAGCACGTTTTTAGCCACAACCCATCTCTGGGAAAACAGTTTACTGTAGTAAACAATATTGTATACTACAGTATACCATTAGTTCACTAATACAGTATAACGCAGCATTTAATAATGTGTTGTAAATACTATAATGCAAATCACAGTTAAATACACTTTGCTATAGTGTGGTTCAAAAACACTACAGTATTTACTATAAATTACGATAGTATTTGTTGTGTGGAGTGTGAAACTTCCCAAACTTTCCCAAAAAGTATTTAAAAACGAAGAAATTATAACATCTTACGTTTTCTGCGAGGCTGTGATGTATAAAATGTGTAAAGAAACTTTACATGGTCGCGCGTGTGTGTGCGCGCGCGCGCGTGTGTGTATAACTCTGTCCAGCACATTCTTCTGAGGATCGTCCCAGCAACCGCAGCCTGTTTATTATTCGTGAGAGACGAGGGGGAAAAGCTCCTCACACAAAAAAACCTAACGTTAACACAGCTACCAAAAGCTCACTCCAGAGAGAGCACAGTAACCCTGGGTAAAACAGCAGTGAATACAGACGAGTGCTGAAACGAAGAAACAACAAAGCAAACTCTGTTCACAGTCAGTCCGTCTTACCTGCACTGCTGCGGATATTCTCGTGAACTCTCCCTCCCGCAGACTGTTACTGCTGTTCTCCTCCGAAATAAGCAATACTCCGCAAACTGGCGCGTGGGAAAGAGGAGCGTTTGATAAACATGATCCGAACTGCGCAATGAGGAGAAAAGGAGGAGGAGAAGAGGAGGAGGAGGAGTGTGGACTATCCGCCATCCAGCGGTGAAGAGGAATGCTGCGGCCCAACCAGCATACTGACTACGTTTATACCAAGAGTGTGTAACGTTTACACAAGAGTATTCAACCGTTAACGGGCCGTTATGTTGCTTAGTTACAAGCCCTGTCAATCATCTCGACACATCATTCACATTCCTTTGGCGTTTAATGACCCCCCTTTTTGGAGATTCAGCTGTGAATGAGTCTTTCATGCAGAGAAATCTCCTCAGGTGTTTGGATTATTATCCATTCAAAAGTTAATGTCCAAAACACGTCTTTATAAGCTTAGATTGTTGTTGCAGATTAAGTATAACACGGGGGAAATGCGATTGAAATGTTTTACAGTTGGCTATATTAATGAATCGTCATTCAAACAATTGTACTGAAGCATCTCTGCTTGACCGTTGGTCCGCCATGTTTGTAGTCACTTGTAGTTCTTCACTTTTCCTACGAGTTTGTAGTTCTAATCGAATTCACATCCAGTGTGCACACATATTTGGTGCTTTGTTATGTTATTTTTAACCTTTTTTAGGTTATTTATTAATCATTTAACCAGCTGGGTTACATATATGGTGCTTTGTTGACTTATTTATAACCTTTATTTGGTTTATTATATAACTCAACCAGCTGGGTTAAAATAAATAAGAAAACTAGATTAAAAAAATGACTTAATAAAGGACAATTCCTGAGGAAAAACGACTCAATTACAGTAAACTGGGTATTTGATTTGTTTCTTTACACCACAGCCTAGTATAAAACCGTGTTTCAGAGAAATGGACAGTAAAAATGTGTGTTTTGTGCTTAAGACTTTATTTATCACCACCCCAATCCTTTCTCCCATCCAATGCAAATTTACACTACAGCTACAGATGCTTTTCCTGGGAATAAACCACCAGTTTAATCAAAGAAGAGAAGTTCCTTACTTCATCCGAGATGCGCCGGACCTTAAGGAGAGTTCGGTGACATTAAAAAATAATGATAATCCAAAGTCATGACTGATCCGGCCAAAAAACCTGGAGGCTTTGGTAGGAACGGAGTAAGATCTCTTTAGAATTAGGAGAGAAACCAGAACCAGGGCTTCTCAAATGCATCTGACTTGCATAAATGTATGCGACGTGATATGTTTGACATCATATCCTGTGCACTGGAACATGAAGCGAGCCTTATTTTCATTTCTACACCTTCAGGACTAAAAACAGGGGGAATGATACAAATTTACACTGCATAACTTATATATACAATTACCGTGTGTGTGAATAAAAATACACAGTGCACAATACACACAGTGTCCTCTCTAAAAAAAACTGAACGATGAACGTCCAGCTAGATGTAGCAGAGCGTGATCTCCCTCATAGTTTTGGTGAAAGTACAAATGAAAAGTCCCCAGGCTGCTCAGAATGAGAAACAGATCCACACGATCATAAATAAGACATCATTTGAGGAGGAAAAATACTCGTTTCAGCTACCATTACAAAAAAAAAGTTTTTAAAGAGTCTTTAAATAAATTAAAGAGTACAAACACAAGAGCTCCACGGTTTAAAAAGGCACCAGACAAGTGCGTCCTGACCAAAACAACACACATAATAAATACAGCACAGAGTGTCAAGCAGACTCAACCAGTCCCCACTGTAGATGGAAGAGAGATGACCACCACACACACACACACACACACACATTTAAAAACACCACACACACATCCTACAAGGGTCCGTCTCATGAAAACATGCATGATTACACCCCAAAAATCAAAAGAAGAAATCATATTTAGCACAAATCAAGAGTCAAGCCTATTTTAAAGAGACAGTTCACCAAAAAAAGACAATTCTGCCATCATTTAATCACTAAATGTCTGAGTTTCGGTCTTCTGTTGAGCACAAATGAAGATAAACCAAAGGAAGCTGCCTTCATTGACTTCTATAGTATTTTTTTATTTCTACTGTGGATGTTAATGGATGTTGAACATCCTTCAGAATATGTTGTTTCGTTTATAACAGAAGAAACTCATAAGTGTTTATAAGCACTTGAGTGTCAGTGAATGATGAGATTTTCGTTTTTAGGTTGACTATCCCTTTAAGAGCCAATAAAACCATCGAATTTCTCATGAGAATTTAAATTAATTTCATTTATTTTAAATAACATTAATGAGAAATGCTCATGTAAACAGCTGCAACGCTGATACGACTGCTCTTAAAACAACAGGCTTTACTTGTAATTTTTACTTAAAATTTAATTTCTCCCTTTAAAAGGGATAGTTCACTCAAAAAATTAATTTACACTATTTACTTTTCCTCGAGTGGTTCAAGAGTTTCTCTCTTCTGTTGAAATATTTGGAAGAAAGCTGAAAGCCTGCAACCACTGCCTACAATAGTAGTATGAAATAATATTAACTACAACACAATGGAAGACATACCATTGACTTAAATAGAATTATAACGCACACCATTAGCTTTTATAATAGTTTAATACAAATCATCGACTTTTATAGTAGTATAATAACTATCGACTTTTATAGTATTATAACTATTGACTTTGATAATCATATAATACAAACCATCGGTTTCCAACCTAGTAAAATACAAACAATTGATGTCGATAGTAGTACGATACAAATCACTGACTTCCATAATAATGTCATATCGAACTACGCATGCCATTAGCAGTATAATAATCAACAATCAGCGCCTTTTATAGTAGTATAAAGCAAACTATTAACTTAGAAAGTTGTGTAATAATCATCAACTTCGATTGTAGTATAATTACTATCAACTTCCATAGTAATATACGAACCATTGACTTCTAAAGTAGTATTATAAACAATCAACGTCAATAGCAGTATAACTATCGACTTCAATTGTAGTATAATAACCATCGTCTTTTATAGTTGTACAAAACAAACCACCGACTTAGAAAGTAGTGTAATAACTAGCTACTTCAATTGTAGTATAATTAGTATTGACTTCCATAGTAGTATTATATAAACCATCGACTTCCATAGTAGTATAATAGAAACTATCGACGTCAATAGCAGTATAATAACCATCGACTTCAATTGTAGTATAATAACCATCGCCTTTTATAGTAGTGTAAAACAAACCATCGACTTGGAAAGTAGTGTAATAACTAGCTACTTCAAGTGTAGTATAAATTACCATTGACTTCCATAGTAGTATTATATAAACCATCGACTTCCATAGTAGTATTATACAAACTATCGACTTCATTTGTAGTATAATAACCATCGCCTTTTATAGTAGTGCAAAACAAACCATCGACTTAGAGAGTAGTGTAATAACCATCGACTTCGATTGTGGTATAATTGCTATTGACTTCCATAGTATTATACTAACCATAGCATTATATAAACCATCAACGTCAATAGCAGTTTAATAACGATTGACTTCAATTGTGGTATAACCAATTGCCTTTTATAGTAGTACAAAACAAAACATCGACTTAGAGAGTAGTGTAATAACCATCGACTTCGATTGTGGTATAATTATTATTGACTTCCATAGTATTATACTGACCATCGACTTTTATAGTAGTTTTATATAAACCATCGACTTTCATAGTAGAATAATACAAACTATCAACGTCAATAGCAGTATAATAACCATCGACTTTAATTGTACTATAATAACCATCGCCTTTTATAGTAGTATAAAACAAACCATCGACTTAAAAAGTAGTTTAATAACCATCGACTTCAATTGTAGTGTAATTACCTTTGACTTTTATAGTATTATACTAACCATCGACTTTCATGGTAGTATTATATAAACCATCGACTTCCATAGTAGTATAATACAAACTATCGACGTCAATAGCAGTATAATAAACATCGCCTTCAATTGTAATATAACCATCGCCTTTTATAGTAGTGTAAAACAAACTATCGACTTAGAGAGTAGTGTAATAACCATCGACTTCAAATGTAGTATAATTAGCATTGACTTCCATAGTATTATACCAACCATCGACTTCCAAAGTAGTACAATACAAACTATTGACTTTAATAGCAAGATAATAACCATCGACTTCAATTGTAGTAAAATAATCACTGCCTTTTATAGTAGTAAAAAACAAACCATCGACTTAGAAACTAGTGTAATAACCATCGACTTCGATTGTGGTACAATTACTATTGACTTCCATAGTAGCATTATATAAACCGTCGACTTCCATAGTAGTATAATAACCATCGCCTTTTATAGCAGTATAAAACAAACCATCGACTTCCATAGTTGTATTATGACCACTGACTTCCATAGTACTGTAATACTTTAAAATTGTATTGTACTATAATAGAAGAAATACTAAACTAAACACCAAGGAAATCAATGTTTACCAGCGTTCCAGCCTTTTGCGTTCATCAGAATAAAGAAACTCAGACAGGTTGGGAACAAGTAAAGGATGAGTAAACAATGACAGAATTGTAATTTGAGTGTGAACTATCCCTTCAATGTGGAGGGAATGTGTTCTAGTGTGCCCACTACACATACACAAGATCTCGGCTCTGCTCCATCGGCCGCTGCGACGGCTCGTCCTCTTCCACGTAGTCTTCGTCCTCGTCCTCCTCCTCGCTCTCGATGGGCTTGGGGCAGCTGTACGGGTGGCCGTTGTCGTCGAAAAAGCGGCGGAAGGTGAACTCGTAGAAGGCGTGCTCGGGGTGCTTGCCGTTCTTGAACCAGCGGGTGAGCGTGTCGTTGTGGTTTCCGTCCGCGTCCTCGCTCCACAGTTTGTCCGGGTCCACTGGGTCGAAGTTGGAGGTGTCGGTGGAGTGTGTGATTTTGGGGATGTAGGGGGCTTGATGTTGCTGCCGCAGGTCCTTGGAGAAGTCGATAGTCCTGAAGAAGGGCTGTGCTTTGATCTCATCGGCTCCGTTTCTGCCCAGCCGGTCATCCGGGCCACGGCACAGCTTCAGGATCAGGTCTGTGGCCTCCGGGCTGAGCTTGGCCTGCAGTGGGATGTGGAGTGACGTCTGCCAGCGGATCACCTGAGCAAAACACACGGACACCAAAAATTAGGGCTGCATAATACATTGAGAAAGTGTAAAACAGGGTTTCGGCTTTCTTTAAAACACCCTCCCTCATTAAGCACACAATAAAAGCCTATGTTGGAACTATACCGTGGTTTGGAAACGTCAAGGTTTTAAAATCGCCAACATTTTTCTGCTATACGGTTCCTAAGGTAATTGTAAGATTTTTTTATTTACATTTTTTTCAGCCTTTTAGGAAAACAGTATCTCCAGCAAAACAAAATATCCAAAGATGTTATTTTAAATTGTAAAAAAAAATGATAGTGTTTCTGAAACTAATGAAGAGAGCGGCCTGACATGTTTACTGCTCCAAAATATTTTAAATGCATCTCAAAATAAAATATATTGTGTTTAAAGGGGGAAAAAAAGTTTTCGTTTTTTCAGGGTGTCCCCGGAGTGTTAAAATGTCCTAAATTTCAAAAACTCACAAAAAAATTCACTGAAATGTGCTGTTGTGGGTCTTAAATACTTTTAAACAGGTCATAATTTTCACTAATTGTCCATGTAAAGCTTATTAGTACAACCAACAAATCCATCTAAAAAATGTTTAACAAAGTTAAAATTAACTATTTAGCAATATGGTTTAATTGTCTTCATTACATCCTAACGATTTGTTTACAAGTTCTCCGTGTTTTCATGCTTTAATGCACACATTTATAAATGTTGTTTATTATAGCTTTAAAACTGAGGCATTTTGATTGTCTTTAATTTAATATTTTTGATATTTCTCACTGCTATAATATTTTTTGTTCATGCTACATTGCATTTGTGAAAAGTATTCGGTTTTGCTTTGATTTTCAGAAGACTTGTAGATTAGTATCTCAATGTGAGTCTCAGTTAAATAAATGACACCAAAAAATACTGTTTTTATATATAGATTATTCTAGATTAAAATAATCTAGAAGTTAAAGGTGTAGTTACCCTCTAAATAAATATTAATAGTGATTTAGAGAATTCTGAAAATTTACTGAACATTAGAAAACAAAATTACATTTAAAAAAAATAAATTTATTTTGTGCATAAATTTTGTTTATTATAGCTTTTAAAACTTGTCTTTTTTAAAAGAATTGTTGTACTAATAAAAATATATAGAGAGTTTGACACATTATTTAAAGAAATAGCTGAATTTTTATTTTAATTGGGCAAGTAAAAAAATTCCACTGACTATAACAGAAAAGTATTAGTGTTTTGCCCTGTGATAGTCTGAAATTTCATTGATAATGGTCTTAAAAAGGTCTTTAAAAGTCTTAAATTTGATATGATGAAACCTGCAGAAACCCTGTTTTTACTCAGACATTTAAAAAGAGTATATATTAGAGGAGAAATCACAATACTGTGACATCGTGATGTTTTTATCCAAGGTTATCATACCATCAGATTCTTATACCGGCCCATGCCTACACATGACCAGTAGCCATAACTGACTGCCAGATTTGAACACGTCATGCAGTTTAAAACATTTTTACTATTAAGGGAAAACCAAAATACTATTCTACAGAGCCCTGAGTGAAACTGTGTGAAACTCAATCAAGCGTTTTGATCACCTGCTATGAGTCTGTCACAGTGCTAAGGAGGAACCACCTTTCTAAGGTCACGCATCTCAATTTGATTCAGGTCAGGACTTTGACCAGGCCACTCCAAAACCATTCAAACACTTTTCACTCTGGGCTAAGTAGTTTTCCCTTAATAATAAAAACCTCCATTTCGAAATGCCATGATGTGTTCAAATCAGAGTACATATCTATACAGGGGCTTCATTGGGATTTAGTTGCGCATTCGTTGATTTTGTTTGTTTATCTGTGTTTAATTAAGATTGGAGTTGAACTCATCAGGAGAACTCACCTTCATCTGCGTCTCCAGAGGAGTTGTGGCCAGAAACGGAGGCTGACCGACGACCATCTCATAGAGGATAACGCCAACACTCCACCAATCACACAGCTGCGTGTAGCCTAGGATTCAAAACAATTTATCAAGCAAGACAAACCATGTTCTAAAGTAATACAACTTTTTCTAATTCTTTCTCTACCTTAAATCATAACAGGAGATCTGTTGCTCTGCTAGACATCTCTTGGGAAATATTTGAAAAAGGGTCTAAATTTCACAGGAGGGCGAATAACTGAGTGTTCGGCTGTAATGTGCGGCTCATACCGGTGCGCAGCAGAACCTCGGGTGCGATGTAATTGGGCGTTCCCACTAGAGAGTGTGCCAGGCAGCGCTGGTGTTGTCTAGCCGCTCTGCGCTCCAGGGGCTTCAGGCGATCCCCGCAGCGGCAGTTTGCAGAATCTTCCCACTCCATACTGAAGTCCATGCTGTCCTGACGCACATGATCACCTGACGACACACACACACAGCGAGTCAACATCCAGACCTGTTTTTTTTTACACCCGAGCTCTTATTTACAAACCGGGGTGGAAATGTGCATACAACAGGCAAAGGTTGTGATCTATAAAAATAAAATGACAGGAGAATGTGCACAGCTGTAAATAAACACTAAGTAAATATGTTTACCTTAAATATTGACATGAATGATTTTAAATGATCATATGAGGTATAATCATTAATAACTAAATGTACAATTTATTCTGGTGTATTTTGCTTGTTGACACCACATATGTAAATTTAACTCCTCCTAAAATTAAAAATGCAAGTGAGTGTGCACGTGTTCTGGGCTATATGACCGCATAAGCAGCAATAACAGAAAGCACACAGATGACAGTCTGAGAAGTTTGTTTACTTTCTTTTTAAACATTTTTTCATTCATTCATTTTCAGCTTAGTCCCTTTATTAAACTGGGGGTCGCCACAGCGGAATGAACCGCCAACTTATCCAGCATTTGTTTTACGCAGTGGATGCCCTTCTAGCTGCAACCCATAACTGGGAAACATTTTTTATTTAGTTTTAAATGATTAAATGAATATCATAGGGAAGCATTATTAATAGAGATGCAGCACGCACCTGTAGCTGATCTCTGTCGACAGACATGAACAAAAACAGAAATATAGATCATTCCTTTACAATTATACGGCTGTCTGAAATACTGGGTTCTGATTGGTCAGTCGCAAAATTCCATGGTATGTTGTCGCCACTGGCTTGCTTGGTTTGGGACTTGTGGAGCTGCGCATGGATGGATTTGCTCATCAGTGTTTAGGCTTTCAGCAGTGAACATTAAACCACACTGAACTGAACTCTGATAACTGGACTGACACAGCTTCAGTTTACGAGAACATCTGTGTTCAGCTGCTTTGACACAATCTACATTGTAAAAGCGCGAGAGAAATCAAGATATTTGTAGTGAATTAACATTGCTACCAAGTTTCTAGCATGAATTAGCATGTTTGTAGTAGTGTTGTCAAAAGTATCAAGTTCGGTACCAAACGGTACTGAAATTTTAAAAATGTTTAAGGGTCACGAAACACCAAAACACATGTTTTGAGCTGTTGACAGTGGTATATGTGTCCCACACTGCTAAAAACACTATTAGGACACCTATATTTCACTAAAAAGTGTAAATTGGCTGTTTTTGCGTTATTTCAAGCAAATTCGTACTTCCGGTTTGAAACGAATTTTTGAAGCTGCGTCACGGTCATGAGATAATAGCGTGTATTCCAGCGTGCAGACTGAACGTCTGTGCCAGAGTGAGTCTTATTACGTCTTACAGTGTACTGCATTAATGCATGAGTAAAGCTTGGTTCAAACCAATCAGCGCACTCTATTGTGCAACTTCATTAATATTCATTACTGTCAGTGTTTAGACGGCAGAGACGCCACGTTGTGTTGGCAAAACAAGCGTGAAGTGTTGCTTTTATAGTTTGCTGCAGTGAAGTTTTGTTTTCATTTTCTCTCTGTGAGAGCTCAGCTGGAGTCACGTGTGGATTAACAGTGTACGCGACGCTCGACAACAATAACTTACGTGTCTAAGGAGGATTATTGTTTACCTGAGAGCTGTTCTCATCTGCAAACGCTGAGATCCAGATTCGCTGCTCATCTCCTCTTAATAAAGACGCGGCTCTAGCTGCTGGTGATTGTCCTGTCTCTACAGATTTGGTAAGTGAGCGACCAGTGCTCTTTGTTTATTCAGTTTGTTCGTATCGAACTAACTATTATACAGAGTGTAAACATGTTAGCACTACAACCAAACTTTACCCTTGTGTTGGGTTTTCACCGCATTTTGTGACCGGAATAACACACGCGGCTTTCTGACACTACCTGCCGTGTGCATCTAAGTTTCCGGGAAATGCGGAGGTTTTTTTTTCTCTCATTCGCTGTGCGGGATCAAACATTGCATGAAAAATACACGCTTAGAGCAGCTCCTCGAATCAAATATCTCGTTTGTCACGAGGGGCATGAATGAATTCCCTGAATGAAAGAGCCAAACTGCAGTTAAAGTCCACCATTTAATCATTTGGCAAATAATTCGATTACAGATGTCCATGTAAACACAGTCACATTCTCCCCTTTGTGTGTGTGTGTGTGTGTGTGTGTGTGTGTTTTGACTCTGAAACTCAGCGCGTGGTCAAACAGACACTCCCACACCCTCCCACTTTTGCCCCTCTGACACTCCCCCCTAAACAGAGCTGGACACGCCCACTTTTCTGTCTTTTTCCAAAGTAGAGGTGTGAAAACACCCTGCTGAAACGAGGGGGTTTCATGGCCCTTTAAATACACTGACACTAGAGCATTTTAAAGCTGCGTGGATCAGTCGATCCATCAGCGGCTTGCTCATGTCAGCTCATTGACAGATCAGCTGATTGACGCGACTTTAAAATGCAGTAGTGTCTGCGTCTCTCTGTGTCGGTAAACAGTAGTAAAGAGTGGTAAACCAATGACCTTTATGGCCAATCACAGTCATTTCTGTTGAGCACTGGTGAACACAACGGCCAATCAGCTGTGTTAAAGAACATGTTCAAATGTGCACATGCTCGTTACTTTTGACAAGCTTCCTAGATGTTACACGATAATAGCACAAAATCATTGGATCAATTCACCAAAATGTGTTGGAGATGTTAGACTCACCGCTTTGGTAGTATTTCGAGTCGTGAGTCCATCTGAATCCAGTGCAGAGGCCGAAGTCTGTCAGTTTGATGTGTCCATCACGGTCGATCAGGATGTTGTCAGGTTTGATGTCTCGATGGATGAAACCCATTTTGTGGACGCTTTCCACAGCACAGATGAGCTCTGCGATGTAAAACTGAGCCAAGTCCTCCTGAAAAATGCCCATTCGGATCAGAAGACTCATCATGTCTCCTCCAGGGATGTAGTCCATGACAAAGTACAAGTTATCTTTATCCTGGAAAGAGTAGTACAAGCGGACGACCCACTCGTTATCCGCTTCAGCGAGAATATCCCGCTCGGCTTTCACGTGGGCTACCTGGTTCCTTAACAACACGTCTTTTTTACGGAGGGTCTTCATGGCGTACAGAGCTCCAGTGTCCACTTTCCGAGCCAAACACACTTCTCCAAACGCCCCGATTCCCAGAGTCTTGATCTTCTCGAACATGCATTTGTCCATTTTGGCGCGCTTGAGGCGGATGTAGTTGGACTCCTTCTGGCTCAGCATCATGCGCATCTGCTCCTGTGCGTCGCCCGAGAGTCCCACCTGAACACACAACACACTCCTTATTCAGAAACACAGATACGCCAGCGACACACAACACAGACTGACTGATCTTGCGACATTTCAGACACAACACTGGCATCCAGCACTGAAAAACAACACAGCATGCAACACGCTCTAGCACATGGCGCTCTAGTCTAGAGTTAAACAGCAAACGGCACTCTAGGCTAGTTTTTCACTTCAGATAGCGCTCTAGGCTAGTTTATAACAGCAGACGGTGCTCTAGGCTAGTTAATAACAGCAGACGGCGCTCTAGGCTAGTTTTTAACAGCAGACGGTGCTCTAGGCTAGTTTATAACAGCAGACGGTGCTCTAGGCTAGTTATAACAGCAGACGGCGCTCTAGGCTAGTTTATAACAGCAGACGGTGCTCTAGGCTAGTTTATAACAGCAGACGGTGCTCTAGGCTAGTTAATAACAGCAGACGGCGCTCTAGGCTAGTTTTTAACAGCAGACGGTTCTCTAGGCTAGTTTATAACAGCAGACGGCGCTCTAGGCTAGTTATAACAGCAGACGGCGCTCTAGGCTAGTTTATAACAGCAGACGGCGCTCTAGGCTAGTTTATAACAGCAGACGGCGCTCTAGGCTAGTTATAACAGCAGACGGCGCTCTAGGCTAGTTTATAACAGCAGACGGTGCTCTAGGCTAGTTTATAACAGCAGACGGCGCTCTAGGCTAGTTAATAACAGCAGACGGCGCTCTAGGCTAGTTTTTAACAGCAGACGGCGCTCTAGGCTAGTTTTTAACAGCAGACGGTGCTCTAGGCTAGTTTATAACAGCAGACGGTGCTCTAGGCTAGTTTATAACAGCAGACGGTGCTCTAGGCTAGTTTATAACAGCAGACGGTGCTCTAGGCTAGTTTATAACAGCAGACGGTGCTCTAGGCTAGTTTATAACAGCAGACGGTGCTCTAGGCTAGTTTATGACAGCAGACGGTGCTCTAGGCTAGTTTATGACAGCAGATGGTGCTCTAGGCTAGTTTATAACAGCAGACGGCGCTCTAGGCTAGTTTATAACAGCAGACGGCGCTCTAGGCTAGTTTATAACAGCAGACGGTGCTCTAGGCTAGTTTATAACAGCAGACGGCGCTCTAGGCTAGTTTATAACAGCAGACGGCGCTCTAGGCTAGTTTATAACAGCAGACGGCGCTCTAGGCTAGTTTATAACAGCAGACGGTGCTCTAGGCTAGTTTATAACAGCAGACGGTGCTCTAGGCTAGTTTATAACAGCAGACGGTGCTCTAGGCTAGTTTATAACAGCAGACGGTGCTCTAGGCTAGTTTATAACAGCAGACGGTGCTCTAGGCTAGTTTATAACAGCAGATGGCGCTCTAGGCTAGTTTATAACAGCAGACGGTGCTCTAGGCTAGTTTATAACAGCAGACGGTGCTCTAGGCTAGTTTATAACAGCAGACGGTGCTCTAGACTAGTTTATAACAGCAGACGGTGCTCTAGGCTAGTTTTTAACAGCAGATGGCGCTCTAGGCTAGTTTATAACAGCAGACGGTGCTCTAGGCTAGTTTTTAACTTCAGACGGCACTCTAGGCTAGTTTATAACAGCAGACGGTGCTCTAGGCTAGTTTATAACAGCAGACGGTGCTCTAGGCTAGTTTATAACAGCAGACAGCGCTCTAGGCTAGTTTATAACAGCAGACGGTGCTCTAGGCTAGTTTATAACAGCAGACAGCGCTCTAGGCTAGTTTATAACAGCAGACGGTGCTCTAGGCTAGTTTATAACAGCAGATGGCACTCTAGGCTAGTTTATAACAGCAGACAGCGCTCTAGGCTAGTTTATAACAGCAGATGGCACTCTAGGCTAGTTTTTAACTTCTGACGGCGCTGTAGGCTAGACTTTAAACAACAACAGATGTTTAGGCTAGTTTTTAACAATAGATGGGACTCAGGGCTAGTTTTACAAAGCAGAAGGCACATCCGCAACATCTATCTGTCTGAACACTCTTGTAATTCGCTTAAAACCTTCTTATTGATTATTTTTGGTTCAGGTGTTATGTGTAAAGAATTGGATGTGAGCAGAGTACGGCTGGTTTTAAATCACACAGCGCCATCTGCTGTTAAAAGACTACGCTCAGAATCCATTCAAGAAAGATCAGCGATGCATTTTGAAAATCCCATAATCGATTTCTTGAACAATGTTATGTTACAGCTCTAATGTTTGCACAACTAGGAACATACACTGAATTTAAACTGTCTGCAACTGCAATGTGTTTCCTATAGCATGGTAGTTCCTTCAGCATGGTTGTTATGCATGGTCACACCGAATTTTTCTGCATGCATTTGATTAGATTACATGCAATCAAGCTCTTTCCTTCAAGAACCCAGCACTCTCTCTTATCTTAATTAGTCTGGCTAAAGCGATACTACTTTTGCTAAGAGTAAACATTTAATACTTTGCTTTAAAGACTATTAATTGCATGTGGACATTGATATGAGGTTAATTTAGACCTCCAGGCAATCCAATAAGCTCATATTTCTGTTCTAAATGCCAGTCAAATGCCTAAATAGCAAGTTTTCCTAACCCTATTTCCAAACACTTACTGATTGACCAGCATTTTTATAATATCCTTTAGTGCAGTGGTTCTCAAAGTTGGGGTCGGGACATTGAGAGGGGGTCGCTTGGTGATTTCCAAAAATCTAATAAATTTGATTAAACATTTAAAATTACCATTGTTATTCTATAACATGCAGAAAATGAAAATAGTTACATAAAAATACAATATCCAAACAAAAAGCCATCAGCCTTTCGTTTTTATGTTGTTGTTTTTTTACATTGGATTGCAACCCCTAGGGTTTTTACATTAGATTAACGACAGAGCAATAGTGTCTGTTGCACCAGATTGATTTTACGGCACTAGCTAAACTTTCTGACACCTTTACAGCACTAAAAAAAAAAATACAGATCACGACTGAACATGGAGGATGATCTTTAAGTGGCAGTCTCCAAAATTAAACCAAGACTTGTGATGTAACTTAAATATTGTGCCCACCAGTCTCATTAAGTGAGGTAAATATTTAATAAAAATAAATAAATAAATGATATGGCTGTTAGACTGTTGTCAATATGCTTGTGTTTATATAGGCCTATTGGTTTGTGCGAGTATTGTGTGGAACGTTTGTATCATTATAACCACTTCCGAAAACAGTCGGGATCGCAAGTCATTGTTATTTTGGGGGTCCCCAGATGAAAAGTTTGAGAACCCCTGATTTATTAAAATGTCACGGTGCATGCTTACAACAGCTGCAAAGCTACTAATGCACCCAATAGACCAATTCACCTAGTTATACTACATCCTAAAAGTATGCACCTTTATTCTATCTGTACAAATCTGTTGCTGTTTATAACAATATAGTAATCATACAATTAAACAATGATATAGTTTTTAAGATGGCAGCACTGTCAAACATAGTTTCCAATCATAAACAAAAGCACAAACACTTACATTCTGTTTAAATGTAAGGTTGGAAAGATGAATTTGCACAGCCGAAGAAATAGAGGAGAAATGTAGTTTCAGAATTGTAAAGTCTCTAAAGATCGCCAACTCTTGATTTAATCATAATAAATATGTGAAAACTAAACAATCAACCAAGAAAACATTTAGAAAAGGTGTGGTGATTAAAATAGACTCAAGCACATGCTGTCCGAATACCAGAGTTTTACTTTACCACACTCGAGAGGAGGCTACTCCAGAGGAAACCTTTAAACTATGAAAACCAGCTGATCAGACAAAGAAAAGAAAGGCAGCGGCAAAAGGAGGAGATCCACACACTGAGAGATAAGACAGACAACAGAAAGGGAGGAAAAGAGGGAAGAAAAGAATGAAAGGAGACGTCAGAGCAAGGTTATTTTATTAAACGAAGAGTAAAACTATTAGAGTAAAAGCCCTAACGCAAGTCCTGAGGTACATGTCAGATGCTCCACAGAGTGAAATCTGGGAAAGTAAGATCGCTGATAAAAATAAGAGTTAAAGTTGAAGTCAGAATTATTCACCCCCTTTAAATGTTTTATTCCTTTTTTTAATATTTCCCAAATTATGTTGAACAGATTCAGGAAATGTTCACAGTATGTCTGATAATATTTTTTCTTCTGGAGAAAGTCTTATTTGTTTTATTTCGGCTAGAATAAAATCAGTTTTTAATTTTTTAAACACCATTTTAAGGTCAATATTATTAGCCCTTTTAAGCTAATTTCTTTTCGACAGTCTACAGAACAAACCATCGTTACACAATAGCTTGCCTAATTACCCTAACCTGCCTAGTTACCCTAATTACCCTAGTTAAGCCTTTAAATGTCACTTTAAGCTGAACACTAGAGTCTTGAAGAATATCTAGTCTAATATTAATTTACTGTCATCATGACAAAGAGAAAATAAATCAGTTATTAGAGATGACTTATTTAAACTATTATGATTAGAAATGTGCTGAAGAAATCTCTCCATTTAACAGAAATTGGGGGAAAAATTTACAGGGGGGCTAATAATTCTGACTTCAACTGTATATTGTACCTGTTCATTGTAACATCATTAAATAAATAAATGATTTCTATAATAAAGGAATGGTTTATGTATGACCCAGCACTATAAAGCAGAGTGAGAGTGTGCTGACCCGCTGCATCTCGCTCTCCAGCTGCTTCTTCCTGCGCATCCTCTGCTGGTGGTTCTTCAGGATGTTCTCCACGTGCTGCTCCATGAAGAACTTGAAGGCCTGCGGAGAGTACATGGGAAGTCTGCTTTCGCCCTTGCGTTCCTCGTCTCGTTTGTGACGGCGCACCGGCACCGGGGACGTCGTGATCTGCTTCTTCTCTTTAAATAACAAGCAACAGAGAAGGTCAATCATTTATTGAACAAACGGAAGGAGAAAAAGAAAAGCAAACGTTTCTGCTATGAGCCTTCGTCAGCGTAATGATTCATTATCTGTTAATGCTTATATATAGAAAAAAGTGATGTAATGTGTGATGTTTATTGACTTTTCACTTGAAAAGAGAGGAATAGGACGTAATTTTGAAGGTATTTCAGATGTTATTGTGTTAAATTACATAAAATAGGCTACTGCATAGTTTCTACAACAAATTTGACAAAACAAGAACGTATATAACCTTAGCTTAATGTTCAGTGGAAATGTTTAATTTAAGATTTCCAGTTTTACACATGTTGATCAGTTTAAGATTACATTTCTAAAGTTGAGTTTGTAATAGACCTTTTTTAATACACATACTGGAATTTGTTCAGTAAAAGTGTTTCCATCGTAGTTTATGCACATCTTTTCTTATCGAATAAAAAGTTTATCCTACTCAGTTATGAATTTTATGTGTATTTTCAAAAGTTATGTGCATCTTGGCGTTTCCATCAACCGGTTTTTCATGCGCATATCCAAAATGTGCATTAAAATAGGTGGGTAGAAACGCAAGACTAAGGCGAGAAATACCGATTCGTCTATAAAAAAAGGGGAGGAGACCGACAAAAACTCTGAGTTTAGAGAATAAAACCTGCTCCTGACCAGGTTATGCTCACAGAGTAAGGGTGCGTTCACACCTGTGAATCGATTCAGTTGTTCTGAAACTGATTAAAATCGTTACATTGTTGCTCTTTGTTCTTGGTGCGGTTCACTTTCACACGGCAAAGTTTCTAAACGGACCAAAAGAGCTAAAACAAGTCACGTGTGATAAAACTCTCCTTACATTGATCAGTTTCACGGTTTATTTTGCAGAGTCCTGCTCAGCTGTCAGGGGGATGGTAGTGGTTTGGTAGTGTTTGACAGGGTGCACGTGACGTGTCTAAAGAGCGAGAAGGGATGCGGTGGGGAGGGGTGAGAAGGGTGCGTGACGTATTTGAGGACCGGGAGGGAGACGCACGATTTCTGCAGATTATCACTCGTTTTGTGGGCATCCTGGAGTCTCTGTGCATTTGCGGGAGACCCCCGAAACTTCGGGTGACTTGGGATGTCTGTGTAATAACTTCCCGCTCTACTAATAATTCTCTCTTCAAATAGCCGTACGCCTATTACTTATCCATAATACACTGTAGTTAACAGGGCTCAGATCGTATTGCTTTCTCACTACAATTGATCTGCTCCAGAGTTTGTTTCAATCAAGCCGAGACCACCTCATTCAAGCGATCTCATAGCGATTGTTTTGGCGCAGATCCGAGCACGATTGGTGGTTTCACATATGCCAAACGAACCATGCTAACTGGGCGAACGAGACAGGTTCCCAAACAAAAGTATAGGTGTGAAAGCACCCTAAGTTACCTTGATAACTGACTCAGAGTAAAAGTAACCTCTCTTTCAGAAACAGGCTTGACTTACCCTGCTTTCACCAGTTTGGCAAACCTGATATTTTGTAATGGAAAACCCAGAGTTTCTCTCGCTTCAGGGTTAACATACTCTGAGGTTTCACTTAACCTCCTTTCTGAAACCGGGCCTATGATGACCATTAATACCAGAGTGGGGAAATGTCAAAACAGCTTTTTCTGGTTTAACTATCGAGGCACGCTGTGAGCAAAATTACAGCTACAGTTTGTTTATGTTTAACATGAGGTATCATGTCAGAACCCAGGATAGTGAAAGTGTCACGGATGGATGATATCAGACTCTGGGTGAGTTTACTTGAAAGTCTGTGTGTTTCCGTCTGACATGATGACTGCAGTCAGAAACTATTGCTCACCTTCCTCCGAGCCCTCGGCCCTCTCGCTGGAGCAGGTGCTGTCTGTGTCGTTTTCGTTGTCTGCCGCGTCCCCTTCTTTACTGCAGGGCTTTAGTGCGGGGCTGGAGTCGTACCCTGGTGGCGGCTGCTGCTGCTGGAGCAGGTGTTTGGGATAGGGAGGCGGTGGGCCCTGGTAGCTCGGGACTTCAGCAGCGGGTGCGGGGGGCGTGGGCGGCTCTTGGTAAGCAGTGGGCGGAGGTGGCTGCAGCCAGGGCGGGTGCGCAGGGGCCACAGCGGTGTGCAGCTCCGGCTTCTGCACACGCATGCTCTTGACAGGCTGCAAGATGGGCGCCTGGGTTACTGTGGTGACTGTGGTGGCAGAGAGCTGTGAGTTGGGACACTGGCGTCGATTGTTTGGTGCACTTGTGAAAGAGTTGGAGCGTCCTGGGACGCTGTGCGTCCATGATGAGGAGGTGTCCTGGCCGGGGGGCGTCTGAGCCTGCTGCACTGGCGGCCGTATTACTCCAAGGTTGTACATGTCCAGGTTGTGGCTGTTGCGGTTGGGCACCAGCATGCTCTGAGGGAGGCTGGCTCCGTTTGGAGGTGCAGTAAGAGCGCTGGACTGCATCTGCTGGGCTGTGGGGCTCTGCCTGTTGGTTTGGTGCATGGAATAGGGAGGTGGCGGTGGCTGCCGGGCACCACTGTTCATGCCCATGTATTCGTTTTGCATGCTGCCGTTCTGAGGCCAGGATGGTGGGAAGTTAAACTTGTTGCTGTTAGAGTTCTGCATGATGATGGGCTGCCGACCCACCGGCACCGGGCTGAGCCCGCGCTGATTTTGGGACTGAGGATTTATATAGCCATCACCTCGAGGGCCTTGGGGCACTGGGGAGATCCGGGGCACCAGGTAATCCAAGTTCCCAGAATAGCGCTTGGTTGAGGGATTGGAGTCCCATGAAGACGGAGGAGGAGTGATGCTGCGCACCTGCCGGGACAGGGGAGCGTTCACTCGCTGGCCGCTGGAGGCAGATGCCAGATTTTGAGGGAAGGTGGCAGGCCGAGAGAGGTCACTTTGAGGCCCGGGGCTGCTGGGGCGATAAATGAGGACATCATTAATTAAAGCGCTGTGTCGCTGTGGGGCCAGAGACTCTTTTGAACCCTTCCAGCTTTGCCGCCGCAACAATGGCTGTTGAATTTGGGGTGGACCTACAGAGGACACAGCCACACATCAGCAAGATACTTTGAAAAACATGTTAACAAGATTTCATTTAGAGAGAGTTCAGAGTAGGGATGGGCGATATAGACTTAAAATTGTACACAACAATTTCTAGTGTTTATTGACATAATGTTAAGTCAAGTATTCTGTCAATCTGTCCTTTTGATTTTCCTATATCAAAAAATAATAATACATGACAAAAAAGGCACTTCAAGCAGAATATTAGCACCGTGCAAATGAATTGGTAAAATGTTTTACACGGTCATCATGACAAAAACAGACAAAATTAGTCAATTTCTTATCATTAGTCAAACTTCTTATTAAAAACATTAGTTAATCATTTTTGCCTGTATTTGACCCAATGTTCCTCTAGTTAACTAGCAAGCTGTGGATATTGAATGCCTTCCCTTCAGGTTAATACAACATTACGAGACACTGTTTACAAGCACAACACACACTGCGAGATAATTTTTATAAAAATGATGGCAAGATTGAAGAACGGGTGCAAAAATTTGGATTCACTATGCGAGTCTGCAATAAGGCTCCTCTCTCCTTCAGATGTGCTCAGTCTTGCTCTTATAACTCAAATCAGAATCCAGAACCACAGTGAGCATGCACATGTTGGTATGTCTGGAATACTGGAATACCCACACTGGGTTGGGTTGTCTACCAATCAACCACGTGTTAAGGAAGTGTCTTTGGTTTAAGGTCAGGTGCAGCAGACAACAAGCAGGTTAATAAACTACTGTACTGTAGTCTGACCCCATAGTATCACATTGCTACCCCGAGCAGACAACAAGTAAGTAGAACTTCTGTGTTCAGCTGATTTGACACAATATACATTGTAAAAGAGCGAGAGAAATAAAGATGAGTTTAACTGAATTGAAAATTTCTATCAATAGAGAATGAATGAATATATCAGATTCTGTGGCTGCTAGTAATCAGTGTAGGGTAGATTACTTTAAAAACACTAACTAAATACATTATTAATATTGTATTTAAAATACATTCTAAATATGTTGTCTAAAAAGTAACTGCATTACTCAATAAGTTATTTAATTGCTAACAATATGCTAATTCAGGCTAGCAACATGTTAATTTAAGCTAAAAACATACAGAATACAAACTAAATTCATAATTCTTTTAGCTTCATTTACAAAATTAACACTTAAGAATGTTAAACGTGTATCAAAGTATATTTCACTCATTCGATAAAGCGTCTTCTTTAGTTAAAACATCTAGTTACTCTCCTAATATATTTTTAGGGTTTTTCCTGCATAGAGGATTACACGTCATGGCCACCGACAGACCCATAGGGATGCTCAAGCACTGCTCATGCATTTAATTACATTTATTGTTAGACTTTTTAAATAAGACAATATTTGACCAATGCAAAATGTGTTTAAGTGGCTGGGAGTCCAGCATTATTTTGATCCTGATTTGCGTAAAATAATAATATGTAAATCAAAGGCGGCAACACCAAGGCTCCAAAAATACAAATTAATTAAATTAAAAATTAATTAAATAAATTTGTATTTTTGGAGCCTTGGTGTTGCCGCCTTTGATTTACATTTAGTTTGCACTTTTTGCGGTTTTGGCTGAGCACCCAATTAAGAGAGATGTGCGTGCTTTTGTACAGTTTTTTCGTAAAATAATAATAAAAAAAGAGACATTTACAATTACTCTGGCTCTCTGAACTTGTCATTTAATGACACTAACTAGTTACTGCTGTTATAACACTGCTATTAATAATGCCTACCCGCTTGTTTTATGGCCGTGTTCACAGGACGTGCCGAAGGGATCTGCTCCCTCACAGCCTCCTGGAAGTTTATCCTGTTGACCATCAGCTCCTGTAAAAACACACAGATGATGAAGATTACAGGACACCACATTGCATTGATCACATTTTTGAAAAGTGTCTGAAACATGACAATCATACGTTTTTTTCATCATAATAACACAAACACGTTGAGCTGTTCAGCATATAACATTAAGCCCATGTTAAATCATTATTACACGGCTGTCTAGAATACTGGATTCTGATGGGTCAGTCGTGACATTCCAAGGCATGTTATTCCCAGATAACAAATGCCGAATAACATGGACTCTTTCTGGAAGTGAGAATCACCCTGACCAGTGAAAATGCTCACATGCATTAACTAACATCCACATTCATGTGTTTAATTGAAGAATTAATAACTATTACAGTTTTAATGTTTTTCAGGAAGTTGTTTTCACAGAAAAAAAACATTCAGTCTTTTACAACAGTCCTCTGCTTTGTGCCAATAAGCCTGTAGGGCTTTCTTCTGTTATAACTTTCTGAATGTACATTATCTGTAAATTATTTTGAAATTAACACATTGGGATTCATTACATGGCATTTATATGCAAAATGAAAAATGCTGTGTGAAAGCTGTAAGCTCCCGAGCATTTAATTTGCATTAGTGCAATGCTGTTTCATTATGTCAGGGTTCCACAGAACACTTTCCTGTTATTAATGGCACGCTGCTGTCAAATGTTTATGCAATGGATTGCATGCATTGCTGTGCTTGTTTAACATCCCTCATATCAGTGAACATGCTCATGTCATATCATTTACATCAATATTTCATGTCAATGCATTTTTGACTGCAAATAACTTTGTAACAATTGGGATAACGTACAGCCGGTCACATCAAGACAGGTGCACTGCACATTACGTTGGAAATAAAGTACATCCAAGATGATGTTAATCGCGGAATAAAGCCCAAACAGGTTTATCAGTAGCCCAAAGCAAAGCACTGTTATATAAAACTGAAGAGTTTATTCTGCAAAAACATCCAACTTGGATGTACTTATCCCCCTTACTAAACAGGTTCAAGCCACAAAACATAAAAATTAGGCACTAACCATTGTTCTGAGCTGTAATAGTTAATTAATTCCTTAGTTAAACTGACAGAATGCAAACAGCTGATGGAGTATACACTAACCTGCACATTATTCAGACACAAGACGGCACTAAACAGGTAAAAACAATTTTAAAAATGCGGCGTGACAGACAAGCAGATACACATGAAAGTGGATGTAAGTATATGGAAGTGAATGTATTCACTGACAGTCAAGGTGATTCTTAGTTCCTGGATGAGTCTGTGTCATTCAGCGGTTGTTATCTGGGAATAGCATACCTTGGAATGTCACGACTGGCCAATTAGAATCCAGTGTTCCAGACAGCAGTATAATAAGGCAGGCTTAGAATTATGGGTGCAATGATGCAGATCGATCCCAGTTTCAATGTCACAGTTTCAGTACAATTTGATATACATTCAGTAAAAAACAGGACACTGTCAAATAAAATTAAAAAAACTATATCTAATCTAAAGAACAAATAAATACAATACTACTACTAAAACAAACAAAAACTAAAGCAGCACTGTACATGTGGCACACGTCACTTTCACGTGAATGTGTCCATAACTGCTGGACATTGTGCATGCCATGGACATATATTCAAACATGCACAGAGCCAGTTCGGAGGGTAAATAAAATGCAAGACTAAAACATGAACATCGTACCCAGTTGTATTATATTAAGTATTGCGGCATAACTGCTCAGAACAGACTATAACTTATAAAAGAACATGAAATGAACCTGAAAGTTTAATTCAAGCCACAGAATGTAATCTTGGCCACTAGAGGGCGAGTATTCACAATGAACAAAGGTGTATTTTCATGACTGAGTGTGGAATCATGGGAGTTGTGGTTTCATCATCCTACCAGAATCATGTTAATGGATGGAACCCTTATTATTAACAGTTGTAGTATGGTAGTACAAGTGAGACACTCCATCTCACTAGTTAAAACTGATTTATGTGAAGCTGCTTTGACACAATCTACATTGGAAAAGCGCTACACAAATAAAGCTGAATTTAGTTGAATAATAGGGTATATGCGGAAGTATGCTAAAGGACTTTTAATTTGCCAGTAACCTGGGTTAAGCGCTTCCGGTGAACTGTGCGGCATTGCAAAATTGGCTTGTTTAAGGTCTGTTTTCTTTAAAAATAAGCGATCTCCACTGGCTGAGTGATATATGATATAAAGTGGGTCTCTGATTGTACAAGAAGCACTGCATTAAATTACATTTCCCCCTGCCATGTCTTTATAATATAAGCATTTATTTTACCCTAGTATATTCAATGGAGCTGCTGCACTATCCTGCCGATTCTGACGGGAGCGTGCAAGTAAACGACTTTTTGTCTCGTTTTACGATCGAGCAATTAAATGAATGCCAAAGTCTATTTAACTGAAAATATTTTGATTACATTACAACATCAATGCTGTAAAAGGAACCGTATAAAATAAATAACAAGTCACATTAACCGTTCAACAGAAGTTTATCGGTATGAGAAGAAACACTAGCTCCGCATATACCCTATTCCTCTTGATTTGAACAATCTGTATAGCTTTTAGCATAATTCAGTACCCAAGTCAGCAAAATATTTGTTTTAGTATTTTTTTTTATTATTATTTTAATGACAAACCGTAAAAGTTGTACCTTTAAAGTTTGGTCTAGATGTCTGCCAAAAAACACCAAAATCTGTTTTGTCAACCAATATGCAAATCTGGCAATTACACAAGAAATGCAGAGCAGTAAATCATATAGACAAAATATGTCCACCATCACACCCACAGCATTAGAGTATGACACGTCACCGAGTTCACTACAACAACCAGAGCTGGTCCGGCAACATACCACGACTGTCATTCCTCAAATAATCCAAATTATAAAGTGACAGAGGGAACATTCCTGACACAAATGATTGATACACCGCGTTTAAGGTTGAGAGGACACAAAAACAGCTCACTTCCGTACATTCGACTCCAGTTAAAGGGATAGTTCACTCAAAACTGAAAATTCTGACATCATTTAACCATCTTTCACTTGTTCCAAACGTGTTTGACTTCTTGTGTTAAACACAACGGAAGATATACTAAAGAAAGGTGGAAAACTGTAACCACTGACCTACATAGCACAGCACAGATTTTTTATTTAATGCCATGTCAGCAACTATTTTATGCAAAAATGTGAAAAGAAGCGTCTCAGCAGAATGCAGTCTATAGAGACTACAGTGCTCATTTGTGCTTCATCTAAAACTCCATATTTATAATCCTCTCAGTCGCTGACATTATCTTCAGCAGCTCAAACACTCTAATAGTGAACGGCTGCTTCTCACTCAGGGCTGTGTTTGCTAATGAAGGCGAGATGGGCTGTTTCTCAATATGCGCTCTTGTCTGTACTTTCGTTCTTGTGTCCTCGTGAAACGTCATCAACCGTTACCAAAGTACTGTTCCAATTCAAAAGTTCACATCTTGCCAAGTACAGATAAAATTCCCGCATGTGTACTTATTCCGCCCCTTTTATGCGAACTTGAAGCGCAGGTATCCCAGAATGCATTGCAGCCCAAGCAGGGAAAGCTAATGGCGAAGGATAAAACCCGCACGATTTTTAAAATACTCCTCTGTTGTCACCAAATAAAGTTTTTAGAGTTTTTCAGGCGATAATATAGTTGTTTTAAACTCGAATCGACAGTTTGTTTATAAAGATAGCGCGCCTTTGGCGATGTGGCTCAGCTTATGCGGACTCTGTTGACCCATTCACATAGGGCTTCAACAACAATGCTTGACTGAAGGCGTGTCGGAAGTTGGAGATGAAGCGATCGTCATAGCAGCGTCAGCCAATGAAACTCAGTCAGCATTAGGCCACTGTCTAGCTGGTGTATTTGCATACAGCGATCTGTTTGATTCACGCTTGAAATCGGCGCTTGAAAAGTTGAGCTAGTCCCAACTTCTGCAGCGAGCAACGCCTCTGAAGTGGCGCCGACGGATCCACAATGTAGTTCGGCAATGCCTGACATCGCCCATTCAAAGTGAATGGGAAGCGTTGACGCTGACGCCACCTTGTGAATGGGGTGTGACCCTCAGCCTGTCAGCGAGAACTTAGTCATCACCTCCTCTGCCGTAAGCTGCTTTAATCGGCCAGTCTATCTCGGATATACCGCATCTCTCCATTGTAGTTAAAACATGATATTTGATTCATCTTTTGCATATCTAATGGACAGTTTTTGGTCATTTATATTTATTATTTGTTCTCAGGTGTATTATTTTGTCAGTGTTATTTTGCTAGGGTTTATAATAGTCTTTATTTATGTTACTATGTTGTACGAGGTTTGTCTTTGTTTACCAAATTGCCTAACGTCATCTTTGTTTCTTATTGTGTACGTCTTTTACTTTATACTTGTATAATGTCCATTGTAGTTTATTAAATCTGATAATCAAAGACATGAGTCTGTGTATAATAACACATTTTACTTTACATTTATATGGATTTGTTTACATTTTCTAAAATTAAAAAAAATATTGATTATATTATAAATATTAATATAATATTATTTATAAGGCTGTGCTTTATACAATTAAATCATTTTATTGTTAATGTACAGTGAAACCGATAAATCCATGGTGAGGTAAGTGACGCTATAAAGTAAACTGCCGTTCTATTTCTGTCATCGGGAGTTCGTTCTTCCAAGTCTGAACTTTGCGTACTTGGTATTGAGAAACAGCCATGGTCACTACTCACTAGTGGGCGTGGCTTTCCCCCTCTGATGACACGTACAAAGGGGGAATGTCAATCAAAGTGTTTCTGCAAGTTTTTATTAATTCTGATTATAACAAATAGTTTTAATAAATGCTTACCCTAAAGGCTGTAATCGAAAGGTTGCAGGTTCCACTCCCATTCCTCTGGAAGTCATGCTCACTGTGTATTTGTGTGCATGCTCTTAGGATGGGTTAAAAGCAGAGGACCAATTTGGAATTTGTGTAAAACCATGCTTGACAAGGCTCACTTCCATGTAAATTTGTGGAAATTGACATCCTAGCTGATTTTCATGTTTGCGTGAACTGCCCCTTTAAAACTCAACCAGCTGCATTACCTCATCAAAGCCGGGCTCCTGCGTCTGGAGTGTGTGTTTGCTGCTGTCTGCGGAGCTGTTGTCTCCGCTGGAGGAGCTGTCGTGGGCAAACGGCTGCAGGGATTTGCGGATCTCCTGCAGGGCTCTGTGGTGGTGGGAGTTTCTGGGGTTGGTGCTGCGCCCTTGCTGTCTGGACTCATCCGGCGGGCCCTTCCCTGAGCTCTGCTCCGGCTTGGACGCATTGGAGGACGGGGAGAGGTTTCGCAGGCTCTCTCGGATCTCCTGCAGCATTTGCTGACTGTTGCCGCTGTTGTTGCTGGCAGGGAACGTCTTGGGTCGCATTTGTCTGTATCCCTCGGGTTTCTCGGCCCTCCTCATGTAAAAGCATATGTTAAGTGCCAAGGCGGTGAAAAGCGAAGCGGTCCAGAATCCAGCGTCTGTTTCAACTGCAAACTGAAGGAAACACTGATGAGCGGTCATCAACAAAAATAAACAAATAATGTCATTCATTCATTCTTTTTCTTGTCGGCTTAGTCTCTTTATTCATCAGGGGTCGCCACAGCGGAATGAACCGCCGACTTATCCAGCATATGTTTTACTCAGCGGATGCCCTTCCAGTTGCAACTCATCACTGGGAAACATCCATACACACTCACACACACATACATACACTATGGACAATTTAGCCTACCTAATTCCCCTATAGCGAATGTCTTTGGGCTTGTGGGAGAAAAACCGGTGCACTCGGAGGAAACCTACTCCAACATGGGGAGAACATGCAAACTCAACACGAAAACGGCAACTGACACAGCCGAGGCTTAAACCAGCTACCTTTTTGCTGTGAGGTGAACGTGCTACCCACTGCACCACCGTGCAGCCCCAAATAAATAATTAAAAAAATCTAAAAATAATTAAATCACTAATTTTGTCAAACCTTTGTTAGTAAATCTGTAAATAAATTTGAAAAATGTTGGAAACCTGTAACCATCGACTTTCATGGTATTTACTTTTTTTCTACTAATAATGTCAAGTTTTTAGCTTTCTTCAAAATAACTTCTTTGGTGTTCATCAGAATAAATAAACTTATGAAGGTTTGGAACACTCGAGCGGAAATAGCGAGTTAATTTTCACTGCTTGTTTGTTTGCAGAGCAAAAATTTGTCTTAAACACTGGTGATGTAAATACATCCATACAAACCGCTAAAAACACAAGCATAACAACAACAACACATCATATGATAATTATACAAGTTTAAATATCACTTACACTCCTTACTTATTAAGTTAATTCTCAAGAAAATAAATAATAATTTGCTATTAAACAATGTTACGATTTAAAATCACAACCGCAACTGGGACTAGGCATGGTACAAGCTGGTATAAGAGTCAGACGGTTTGATAACCTTGGATAAAAACACCACGGTGTCAGGGTATTGTGATTACTGCTCTAAAATATAATCTTTTTAAATGTCTGGGTAAAAACTGGGTTTCATCTCGTCAAATTTAAGACGTTTTAAGAACTTTTTAGGACAAAGATCAATGAAATTTCAGACAATCACAGGGCAAAACGCTAACAATTTTCTGTAATAACATTGAAATTGTTTGTACTTTCCAAATTAAAAATTAAAATTCACTTATTTCTTAGCCACATATTTTTTAAAAATGTGTCAAAACAAGCAAACTCTTGTTATATACATATATATGTATTAGCCCAACCTTTCTTTAAAAAAAGACTATAAAAAACTATAATAAACAGAATTTATGCACAAAATAAATACATTTTTTTAAATGTAATTTTGTTTTTTTAATGTTCAATAAAATGTCTTCAGAATTCTGACCTCTATATCAAGGTTAATATTTATTTTCAGGGTAACTACACCAACATTACAAAACGCTGTTTTTTGATGTCACTTATTTAATCGACACTCACAATGAGATACTAATCTAAAAGTCTTCTGAAAATCAAAGCAAAACAGAATATTTTTCACAAATGCAATGTAGCATGAACAAAAAATATTACAGCAATGAGAAATAGCAAAAAATATTAAAGACAATCAGAATGCATCAAAGTTTTAAAAGCTATACGAAACAACATTTATAAATGTATGCATTTAAGCATGAAAACATGGAGAACTTATAAACAAATGTTATTGTAAGGATGTAATGAAGACAATTAAACCATATTGCTAAATAGTTAATAAATGTTAACTTTGCATAAAAACATGGAGAACTTTTAAATTAATAAATTAAACTGCATTAATTTAAATAAAATGTTATTGTAAGGATGTAAGGAAGACACTTAAACCATACTGCTTTTCAATTTTAATTCAAATTCAATTAATCTGCACAACCTCAAAAAACAATAATAATCAAAAGCATAAGAGTTGGCACTCAATAAAACAAAAATTATAGATTTTATTTAATTTAATATTTTGACATTCATGAGGAAAAAGTGTCATTATAGATGTGACAGGTGTGAAATTGCCATTTGTCTGACTTTGGTAAATCAAATTGAATAGTTTGAAAACATTGACACATGCATTTTTGGGTATTTCTAAAGTACTGTGAAATGCTTGCTTACCCAAAAAGCCCTGAAACGGTGTATGTATTTTGACGAAAACCTTATTTTTTCCATGGCAAGAATGACATTTGCACGGAATTGTCCAACTACAACTAACAACAACACTGATAAAAAAATATAACATCAAAGATCTTTAAATGTGATCAATGATTAATAATCTTGAAAGGCTGCATCCTGATGGAAACATTTCAGAAGCAGAGTGGGTTTTAGGGAGAACTTTGACTGCTATAAACATTATTTTTAATATTCATAATCAATAAGTATTTTTAAAAGTTTTTTTTATATTAATAAAATAATATTGCATAATCAAATAATCAAAAAAGTTAAGAAAATTAAACCCAGTATGCTGCATTGAGTTTCTTTTTCTAGATTTTACTGTTTTTTTTAGTTATGTTAATAGCTCACGGTTTAGATCCTGCTTTTCTTAAGCTCACTAGACCATAAACAATGCAGACTATAAATAAATAGCCAACTGAGTGACCAAAAGCAGTTACTGTTGTGATAAACGGGTTATTGTAAAGGGATAATCAAGCCAAAAATGATAAATGTGTCATTTTTTACTTTCCATTCTCTTGTTTCAAACCTTCATGTGTTTGTTTATCCCATTGAACACAAAAGATTAACATTGAATAATGTTGGAAACCTGTAACCACTGACTCCCATAGTTTTTGTTTTCCCTACTAGTCAATGGTTACAGGTTTCCAACATTCTTCAAAATAAAAAAAAATATGTTGAACTGAATTGGAACCGCTTGCGGTAGAGTAACTTAAATAATGAATAAATTATAACTTTTTACATGAACAATCCCTTTAAGCACGAGTTCCCATCCTCACCTAGACAGCATCACTAGGTAGGCACCTCAACAGGTTTTTGAAACACAGCCGCAGCGTCCAGTAGTTTCACACACTGTTAACGTTAGCTCATTTAGCCACTTACTATCGCCATACAACGCCTTTAAACCCCCCAACCATCATTCACACCATATAAAATCCCTTTAAACCTAATAATTCATTTATGAATCGCTCCAACAGGTGACTGAGGCCTAAAGCTGAGGCGATAGCATTACCGCTACCACACACCGAATAATAAGACGAACTACATCCACCTACCTGCTAATGCGAGCTCGGCATGACGTTTGTACAGGTGAGTTTCTCTCCGTGCTGATCGATAATCAATAACTCCTGCTCGGAGTCTGACAGATACGTGTGTTTGTTGACGCACCGCCTGCTTCTCTTTGGTATTTACTGTCGTCTTGAGTTTTACAACGGCTGTCATGCGCGTCACAGGGGCCCGGATGTTGTTGTTAAGCCCCGCCCCCTGAGGAGCAGTCATGAGGCCCGGGGCCCCTCTGGGCGCCTGCAGCTTTATTATACGGACACAGTTGCATAACAAGAAATTAAGTTTTTGTGCAATCATATGTTGATTGTAGCAGTTTTATATACACAAATGTAGATTTGTTAAAGATACTTCCTGTTACACAGCGCTTAAAATTAGTTGTTCAAGGGATGAAAGACCATTTAAGAGCAAGCGCCGTCAGAAACAGCAGACAAACACTGCTTTGAAAATACTGTGGTAACATAAATATTCATATTTTTAAAGATCAGAAAGAGTTGAGAGAGTGTGGAAAACGCAAATAAAAAAGAAAGTAGTGATTTCTTAATTTACTTTGACTTGTGTTTTATTGCCGTCAATACTACAAACATTATTTAATGTGTTCCTTGGGATTTTTATTGTTTTTTTTTTTTGTAAATAAACCTGTATTCCAATGAGGTGACACAGTGGATTCATCTTTTTAAAAAGATTTTTTTTTAATTATACTTATTGCAAGTTTTAAATAATAAAGATAAATATGTTTTGTTTAAAAAAATCATTTAGCATTTTATACGAGTATAATATTGTATTTTATTAAATAAAAAATATACCATGAGTTGCATACGTTGGCACACACGTTTTAAATTAAAATCATTTAAAACAATAACATGCAGTCACACAGCCAAGTGTAAAGTGTTTATGTAGATGTAATTGTGTAGATTTGTAAAAATTTTGTCAAAATAAACAGTCAAATCAAGCATACAGTACAGTTAAGGTCAAACGTTATAATTCTTCTGGAAAATGTCATTAATTCATTATTATTTATTATTAATTAATTAATTTGCCAAAATAAGAGGGATAACACAAAACGTATGTTTATGTTAATGCAAACTTTAATATATTTCAGATAAAATAGAAAATTATATCTGGATAAAAAATTCCCCTATGAATTTCATATAATTGATTATAATGATTCTTAACCCTGTTAAAGCTGACTAAATTTTCACAATTTTTGCAACTGAAATGTTTATTAATCCTTCAATAAAGATCCTTTTTTATTCCATATAGCATAATTCACCAACATGGTGCCCGCGGGGATCACATGATTGCCTGTGGGCCTGTTTTAAAATGAGCTTACCATAGCACCACATACCAGTAAGCTGCATCTAATGTTTTTTGAAGCTACAGTATTCCTTTTAAATCACACTCGCATTGGTGTAAAATTGAAAATGACATAAAGTTATATATTTAAAAAACTTTAAAAACAATTTCAGACAAGTGAAGTGTTGCATATTGATATTTATCTGTTTCCAATCAATGTTGACAACTATTGTGAGAAATCATTAACATGATCAGTGCCTTCACAATATTATTCATTATTAATAATAATTGAGCAAATTTGTTATTAGGAAGTGTGTATCAAACTGTTAGCCCTTCACATTAAACCATACCCAAGAAGTAGCTCTCAGTTTCCAAAAGGTTGGTGACTCCTGCCATCTAGATCTTGATTTTGCATCATATTAATACATCAGGCCTTTTTTGCTCAAAACTATTTTAGTTTACAAAAAAGTTTGCCCATAACATTTTGATAAAACAGAACATTTCAGGCAGGTTTTCTCTGTTTATTTTTTACACAGTACATTTTAAAGTCTTTGTTTCCACTTTGTAAGATGTGTAATAGCAGTTTCAGTCAATTGTTAATGCAAAACCTCGCATGTGGGAAGTGATTGCATTCTTATGTTCTTTTGCCCTTTGACTCCCTTATAAATCATTTTGTTTTCACAAATGTGCAAAAAGTACAGAAGCAAGGCATGTCAAGGTGTCACAATCATTTAGTGGGGAAAATTAAATTGAGAAGAAATTTGGGTTGGGATGAGAAGTAATTCTTTGTGACTTAACAGGCGTAGTGTAATTATACTTTTGTACTTCATACTATTTCAGTTGTGTTCGGTTTCAAAACTAGAACCTGCATACCTATCAGTAAATGTGCAGTTGCGCCCCTGGGCCCGGTTTTTCAAAAGGTTTAATCCGGATCAAATTTATCTGGATTTAGTAATCCTATTTTTGCCATTCGTGATGACGTAATCCAGCTTACTTTTTGAGCCAGTTTTTTTAAAGCAACATCGGATTGGATCAATCTGATCCGGATAGGAACTTTTCAGGATCACTAAATCTGGATAACCAGCGCTCAAACAGGATAGGACATCACAATGTAGAACTATAGATATTTAAAGAGCAGCTAATAGAATAGGCAGCGTGGGGCCAATATAACTTCATTTTTATTTGAAATGAAAACACACACATTTGAAAAAAACTAAAAACAAGAAAAACCCCACCCCATCCTCCTCCAGCAGACAACTCATCTGAGACCTACAACACAAACACTGTACATTGAGGATATTTATAACAAGTTTCAAATATAGATGTACTGAATTAAAAAAAAAAGACTTAATGTCAAAACCTCCTGAGCTGTGCTTCTGCTCTTTCAGTCTTTTTTTGCATATGTTGAAAGTGATTTAAAAAATCAGCGATTGCCATTCTTTGCATTTTTCGTTTTTTTTTTTCTAGTTATTCTGTAATCATTGCATGCATCACTAATAAATATTCTGAAAACTAAAATATTTTTCATTGTGATGAATATATAGATTAAATATATAGATATCAATTAGAGACCGAATAAAATTGATTGTTTTTGGTCAATTTTTGACAGATGTTTGGGGAATTATATTATGGGGCCAAACTCTTTCTACTTTGCTGTAGGCCTATACTGAGAGGCTGAATACGTTAAAGCCTACTGTAGCCTGGCGGAGGAACAAATACAATTAAATCCTCACGAATAAATAGGATATCTTGTAAGATACTGCATGATCTAAATATAGCATTATTTGATGAATTTTGTAAGTTTTCATTACATTTTGGGCATGAAATTCATGCTGAATCCACCCTTCTGATGGGATCAGTTTAATCCAGATTTTTTGGATCAAAGTGATCCAGATCCTACAAAAAAAAAGATCTGAAAAACCCAAACTAAAGGTTTGATTCGGATCAAAACCAAGATTGGATTACGTGATCTAATCCGATTATGTAATCCGTTTTTTCTTTTGAAAAACCCATTTTCAAGATTTGATCCAATCCCTTATCCAAAATAGTGGATTACTTTAGAAAAACCGGGCCCAGGTCATAGATAGGTTACTTGATTTCGTAGCTACTTTGGTTTTACTACAGTAAAAACAGAGTTAATGTTCGTATGGGTGTACCTGGGTTCATCCCTTTTAATAGTTTTAAATAGTTTACTAGTGTAAATGAAGTTTTGCCTGTCGTCGAGGCGGTGTTTTGTATGCTAATGGAGTTTCGACACCGCATTGTCTCGAATCTCCCTGATGACCCACACTGGCCCTGATGTCTGTTCGACAACACGTGACACCATCAATACATTTAATCTACTCTGCTGATTTTAACGGCAGTTTGGTCAAACAGGACCATATAAAAGAGCAGACTCGACCCGCAGTGTCGCACATCGTCTCAGGACATCGAGGCTGTATCTGACAGAAAACAAACCTTAAAAACACCCCAGTCTGCGGATTATTCAGCATCTCCGAGGACTCGACACGGGTATTGTAGTTGTGCCTTTTAAACCCATTGTTTACGTCATACTATTTTTACAATTGGCTGCCAATTTTAGGTAACATTAAACAAGTGACGTGTTCGCTTTAGTTACATTTTTATATGCCAATAACTGAGTTAAGATGCGTTTGAGTAGGCTAACAATGTTTGTTTCAGCTACTTTAATCAATGCAATTTAGATTAGTTGAGTCAATATAACAGTCTTAATTTTGCTTCAGTTATAGTAATTAACCACACTTATTTTACATTTCATGCAATAAAAAACAAAAACACTGGATCACTGGTGCAACTTACTGGTTTAATTATGACATTTTCATTGTGATTTTTGTTTTGAACCAAAATAAACCTCGTTAATGTGAATATTACTATTATACTGTTTACTTTACTTGCACTGTAAAAATGCTGGCTTCCGCTCAGTTTGTGTTAGGACAACATAAAGGAATTAAGGTTAACTTATTAGTTTTTCCAAATGTAAGTGATTTGAAAATAAAATAAGTAACTTAAGCTGTTAAACAACTCAAGAGTTGTAATGTTTCAGCTCATTTAAAATGAGTAGTTTGTAGTTTTTTTGAATGCAAGTTATATAAATGAATCTTAATATGTTAGTTTGTAGAGAATTTAACTTTATTATTCCAGTTCAGGGTACTTTAATAATGTTTAATAAAACTAATAATGTTTTCTGTCAGTCACTTGTGTACTAGACTAGTACACAAGCTGATCTCAGAACTGCATTTGGATTAGTCTTCTGCACAACAATAACCTTATAACTAATAATATAATATAGATTAATAGAAATAATAAATCTAAAAAACAAGAGAAATATTTCATCTATTCACTCTTTGCTTGTATCAAACATTTCTGTTGAGCACAAAAGAAGATTCCCTGAAATATGTTGGAAACCTGTAACTTGTCTTCCACAGGGTTTGTTTTTCCTTCTATTGAAGTCAATGGCTACAGGTTTCTAACATGTTTCAAAGTATCTTCTTTTGTGTTCAACAAAAGAATCTCCTAATGGTTTGGAGTATGTAGTGAGTAAATCTTAATTTTTTTGAGTGAACTAACCCTTTAAATGAAAATGACCAACAGTTTTATTCTGAGTTTGTGTTTCCTAAAATCTCCTCTCTCATGTCTGTGTTTTCTGGAAGGCTTTCAACGCAGCGCTCTACATGGCTCTGTCAGGAGAGGTGTGTGTGGTGACGGGAGCCTGCGGGTTTCTGGGAGAAAAGCTGGTCCGACTGTTGCTGGAAGAGGAGAGTCTGTCTGAGATCCGGCTGCTGGACAGAAACATCCGCTCAGAGCTCATACAGACGCTTGAGGGTTAGTGGACATGAACATTACACGCTCTGCAATATCAATCCTGTAATTAGTTCTTTAATCTTTATTAGTTTTGTGCTCTCATCTTCTGTTTGTTGGCATTCTTCCTAAAAGAGAGACTTTAGTCTATATTAGGTGTTTGCTTCGACATACAGCCTAAAAGTCCAATTAAACTATAGTGTGTATTTAATAGACACTAATGCCTGAAAGTGAAGGATATGCCTACTGAAAAAAACAGCCTAGGCTGGTTGGCTGGTTTTAGCTGGTCAACCAGGCTGGTTTTAGAGGGGTTTTGGCCACTTCCAGGCTGGTTTCCAACCATTTCCAGCCTGGTCTTAGTTGGTCAGGCTGGAAAATGACCAGCTAAAACCAGCTTGACCAGCCTAGCCAAGCTGGGATCCCAGCCAAAACAGCTATGTCCAGCTTAGACTAGGCTGGTCAAGCTGGTTTTAGCTGGTCATTTTCCAGCCTGACCAGGCTGTTAATGGCTGGAAACCAGCCTGGAAGTGGCCAAAACCCCTCTAAAACCAGGCTTGCCAACCAGCCTAGGCTGGTGTAAGCAGTTTTTTTTTCAGCAGGGATACAGAAAACAAAATCTGTTCTGCAAAATTCATCATTTATATCATATAAAACAACTGCCATCGCTTCAAGGAGGCTGTCTTTGTTCATCTTTTGTTGAAATAGCCCATATTAAAACACAATTCCTGACCTAAATTATTTATTTTCACCATACTGGAGCCCATCATGGTTTACTGCATGCCAGAATCCAATCATTATCCATAAAAACACTGAAAATAAGTTTGAATCATGAACTAATTGAATTAAATGTATGAGTTCGGTTCACTGACATGCATCTATATTAAACAAACAACACAAAAGCCGACATCCTTTCTTCTAATACCCTTTTAAGCGTCCAAAAATGCATGCAATTGAATGTGTTGCTGCTCTGTGTGCTCAGATGGCCGTGGAGAGACTAAAGTGAGTGTTATTGAGGGGGATATCCGAGACCGAGAGCTGCTGAGAAGAGCTTGTAAAGGAGCAACTCTGGTTTTCCACACTGCGTCTCTCATTGATTACAATGGAGCCGTTGAATACAGTGAATTACATGCAGTTAATGTTAAAGGTAAGGGTTTCGTGTGTGTATAAAAGAAGTTTTAATCCTAACACCTGCAACTTAAATTTGTGAAAATGATGAAGTTAACTTAATCGATTTGTGTTGGGACAACATGAAGAGATTGTGTGCATCCCAGCACTCTTACAGTGTGTTTCTATTGTTTGTCTTCCTACGACAGCTACACGGCTCCTGCTGGAGACCTGCATCCAACAAAGCGTGTCCTCCTTTATATACACCAGCAGCATTGAGGTAGCGGGTCCCAATCGCTGTGGTGAACCCATCATCAACGGCCACGAGGACACGCCTTACTACTCTTATCCTATCAGCAACTACAGCAAAACCAAGCTGGAGGCGGAGCAGATCTGCCTTCAGGCCAATGGAGAGCTGCTGCGGGACGGAGGACATCTGGCGACCTGCGCTCTCAGGCCCATGTTCATCTACGGGCCGGGTTGCAGGTTCACTTTAAACAAACTCAGAGATGCGATCCGCAGTGGAAACGTGCAGCATCGACTCTCACAGCAGAGCGCAAAAGTCAATCCAGTGTATGTAGGAAACGCCGCCCTGGCGCATCTGCAAGCAGGACGAGCGCTCAGAGACCCGGAGAAAAGAGCGGTGGTGGGGGGAAACTTCTATTACGTCTCAGACGACACGCCGCACATCAGCTATTGTGACTTAACCCATGCTCTCATGTCACCTTTAGGATTTAGCATCCAAAACAAGCCCATTCTGCCCATCTTTCTGCTGTATCTTCTGGCGTTCTTCATGGAGATCCTGCAGGCCGTGCTCCGACGCGTCCTGAGATTCACTCCACCCCTAAATAGGCAGCTAGTGACCATGGTGAACACCCCTTTTAGTTTCTCCTATCAAAAGGCTTGCAGGGAGTTCGGGTACAGTCCTCGATATGACTGGGAGGAGGCACGCAGGAGCACTACTGATTGGCTGGCGTCGGTGTTACCAGCTGAAAGACGATTGGCTAACAAGACTTGAGCGCTCGTGATGGTTATGATTAAGACTACCCTGCAAAACGTGCTCAGTTTTTCCTTGTTTCTAATTCACATCTCTATAAAATCTTCAATCGAAAAGCATATATGGGCATGTAAACATGGTGGTGTGTTCAGAGTTTGTGTGTTGAAGCTAAATAATCTGCTGGTGGTGTTAGTACAATAATCCCACCTCACACTGAAAATAAGATTATTCACCCCTTTTGGCTTATTTTTTTGCTTGTCTAGAAAATGCCTCTTGATTTAAGCGTTTTTAAATATTTAGACTTGAAAGCCAGACAGTAATTGTTTCAAGTCCAAATATCTAAAGTCTTAAATCAAATTGCATTTTCTAGATGAGCAAAAATATTGTCTTGTTTTCAGGAATAGGAAGTCATAATGAAGTGAGTTCTTCCTTTAAAACAAGCTAATCAATCTGCCGATAGGTGAGGAAAATCAGGGGCGCAACTACACATTTACTGAGGGGTATGCGGGTTCAAATTTTGTGTGATCCCTCTTATTTTATATTAATTAATTAATAATAAATGAAGACAAATTTTCAGATTAATCTTATAACTTTTGACATTATGTATGATTTGATAGTTTATTTTGATAAAAACAAAAGCAAATCTAAACAGTTACATCTACATGAACACTTTCGGCTGTGGGACTGCATGTTATTGTGTTAAATGATTTTGAATTAAACAATAACAATATTATATTCGTTTAAAATGCAAAATAATGTTTTTTAACAAAACATATTTATTTATTTTTATTATTTGAAACTTTTAATAAGGATAATTTTAAAAAATAGTTTTGGCACAACGGCGCCCCCCCATGTGTGGCGCCCCTATGCGCCGCATATACTGCATACCCCCTTGTTGCGCCACTGAGGAAAATAATTTAATTTCTAAAGGAAGTAAAAACCAGATGATTTAGCTTATTGGCAGATTATTTTCATTTGGACTCATTATTTCTGAAATGTTCTGCTTGTTTGGGAAAATGCTTCTTGATTTAAGAATTAAACCTTTCAGTGAGAAAAACACGTTTTGCAGTGTAACTGGTGTGGATCAGCATGACTGAAAAAATCTGGTAAAGCAGAAAATCTTAATAAATGCAGATTGAAATTAGAACAAGATAAAACATATAATCCCTGATGATCGAGGTCTTGGAAACAAATATGTGACGTGTCAATGTCTGGAGGAGAACTTTTAAAGCTCCATGACCTGTGCGAACTCTGGTTATGGCATTTTGTGGCTCCTTGTTGGTTAAACGTGCCAATAATTAATAATACAATATATTGTGATTAATGTACACTGTCAAACAATATCCATAAAATGATCTGTTTTCTGTATTTTGTGACTCATGTTTTTATTTTGTGAAGTTTATTTATAAACTAATTTCGAGAGGATCACGTGCTTATGATTGATCACAGCCGGTGCTGCATTATCCAATCTATGATTGACCAATCAGATGATTCCCAAGCCACTTTAAATACCCTAAGCTCCATATCACAGCCATCTTCGTTTTGAAGAATCCACCCCTACTCCTCCTCCTTTCCTAGATGGTCTGTTGCCTCACAGCAAGAACGTCACTGGTTCTAGTCCTTACCAAGCCAGCCGACATTTCTGTGCGGAGTTCACACATTCTCCCCGTTCTCACGTGGGTTTCCCGGGTTCCTCCCACCATCCAAAAACATGCAGCTTAAGTTAATTGACTAATCCAGCACCATAGACATGCTCCTAGTCAGTAGTTATCTCTTAAGAGCGATCACTATCTGTTCATTAGCTACTACAGCAGGGAAGTTCTCCCCATCTACCTGAGCTCAAACTCCTCTCTCGCCTTGCAAATGGGAGGGAGCCCTGGGCTTGAGGATCTTATGAGCTCAGGGCTCTCTCCCAGGACAGCATGCCAAACATGCTTTGTAATCACTCATCAGCTAAGTGTGAACTCTTGAGTCCCAGTTTATTATTATTTTTTTTCCCCCCGATGCTATATTGTTTGTGTTGTGGCCCGTTTCCACTAAGTGGTACCGTTCGGTACGCTTTTATTGTCGTTTCCACCATCAAAGGGTACCTAAAAGCGAACCGTACCACTTTATGGTGTAAGATTTATTTTTATTTGTGTATATCTTTTGTTTGTTTTTAGGACAACAATATCTCCAGCAGAAAAGATGCGGTTTTATATTAAATTTAAACCAATGCAAATCGCAAATCATGTGATATTTCCCTCAGAGGAAGAAGGTACAGTCTACAGTCAAAACAAACCCATCTTTTTCATAGAAATAAATCTAAATTAAGATGCTGAAATCATAAAATATCTATGCAAAAAAAAAAATAAAAATCAAGATGTGAAATAAAATGATCTCTAATATCAGAGTTATAAATGTGCGTATTCGTGCTTTGTGCTGTCTGGTCTTTCTGGACCCCAGAGTGTCCCCTACAGGAGAGATTGAACACGGCAGACTGAAGCTGGATCAGTCGCTGCGGCTGCTTCAGTTCTGGCGCTGGACTCGACAGGTGCAGCTTCAGCTTCATCCTCCTCTTCAACAATGCGCAAAACGGCGATTCTTACATCCTAATCTAACGATCGGGATCGCAAATGTGATGTGATTCTTTCCACGGTGGGAAAGTAGTGTTTAATCCCATCATCTTCATCCTTGTTCTCCTCATCATCATGTTTCCGCGGGCGCATCATGTTCTGCTGTGCGCAGCTCTGCTCTGGGTCTCCAGCTCGGCCGGGGCGCGCTCCTCTCCAACATCCGAGCTCAAATCCCGGATCTCCGGCGTGGAGGAGCTGCTGGAGGAGTTCCGCAAACAGCTGCAGCAAGACGAGCCAAGCTCCCGGGAGCAGGAGGGGGATGGAGACCGCTGCGTCGCGGGTTTCAGGGCGGCGGAGTCGCGCATCATCCGCGCCAGCGCGTCCATCGAGCAGGGCGCCGCGTTCCTGTCCGCGCCGCCGCGCGTGTTCAGCTGGAGGGACTGCGCGCGCGCCTGCTGCTCGCTCCCGCACTGTACAGTCGCCATCATCCAGGAGGACCTCAAGCAGCCTGACGACAGTTTGCGCTGCTATTTGTTCAACTGCACCTACAGGGGCAAGAGCGTGTGCTCGTTCTCCTACCAGCCGGGATTCAGCACCTACAGCCGCTTGAACGACAGCTCCGGGGCCCCGGGCACTGCTGCCACCGACCGGCCGGCCGGGAGACCCGCACCTGCGCTCGGCGAGGAGGAGGCCATGATGCAGGGTGGGTGACACATACCACTGACAGCAGAAAACCTATTTAACTCACTTGTGGACTGCAGAAATTATCTTATAAAACATTTCACACCACAAAAATTACTGGAACACACACACGCCGAAAAACACACACATTTTTACTGTACAAAAATTACTGGCACACACACAGACACTAACAAACAAACCTTCCAAAGACACTCACATGCACACACACACTCACACTGCCAACAAACACACCTTCCAAACACACACACACACACACACACACACACACAGATAAACAAACAAACACACACTCCAATAAACACACGCACACTTTAACAAATACACACACTCCATCAAACACACACACACACACACACACACACACACAAACACATCTGCCAAACACACAGACACACAATAATCTTTCAAAATGACCATCTCTCCCTTATTAGCATAGGACGGTAGTCTTGTAGTCAAATCTGACACTATGCTGACACACAGGCATTTGTAGCTCCGCCCTCTTCTGAAAATTCTCATTTGCATTTAAAGCGACAGTCACCAAAACACCACAATTAGGATTAAAGCCTGAAAGGGTCAGTTTCAGAGAGCCAGAAAATGTCTTGCTTCACTCACGCTAGAGAGAACAGAGACTTGTTTGCATCTTGTAAAAAGGGACATAGACCTCCTTTAAAGAGTGTGTGTGTGTGTGTTGGCCAGATCTGGACGAGCCGCCCCGCAGTGACGCTGGTCAAGATCTAGTGGTGCAGCTGCCGACGGACTGGGCAGTGCTGGACGGCAGAGACAGTACCGATGATCACCACATCACCCGCTATGAGTGGGCTCTCGTCAGAGGAGACCCTTCTGTTAAAATGAAGGTAAACCTGCTGTGTGCTGCTCTGTTTGAGAACATCCATTTATCAGTCCATCCATCCATCCATCCATCTCTCCATCCATCCATCCATTCATATATCCATTTATCATTCATTTATCATGCAGTATGCAGTGTTGATTACAGTGTTGATTACAGTATGCAGTGTTGATTACAGTATGCAGTGTTGATTACAGTGTTGATTACAGTATGCAGTGTTAATTACAGTGTTGATTGCAGTATGCAGTGTTGATTACAGTGTTGATTACAGTATGCAGTGTTAATTACAGTGTTGATTACAGTATGCAGTGTTGATTACAGTGTTGATTACAGTATGCAGTGTTGATTACAGTGTTGATTGCAGTATGCAGTGTTAATTACAGTGTTGATTACATTATGCAGTGTTGATTACAGTGTTGATTGCAGTATGCAGTGTTAATTACAGTGTTGATTGCAGTATGCAGTGTTGATTACAGTATGCAGTGTTGATTGCAGTATGCAGTGTTGGTTACAGTGTTGATTGCAGTATGCAGTGTTGATTACAGTATGCAGTGTTGATTACAGTATGCAGTGTTGGTTGCAGTATGCAGTGTTGGTTGCAGTATGCAGTGTTGATTACAGTATGCAGTGTTGATTACAGTATGCAGTGTTGGTTGCAGTATGCAGTGTTAATTACAGTGTTGATTGCAGTATGCAGTGTTGATTACAGTATGCAGTGTTGATTACAGTATGCAGTGTTGATTGCAGTGTTGATTACAGTATGCAGTGTTGATTACAGTATGCAGTGTTGATTACAGTATGCAGTGTTGATTACAGTATGCAGTGTTGGTTGCAGTATGCAGTGTTGGTTGCAGTATGCAGTGTTGATTACAGTATGCAGTGTTGATTACAGTATGCAGTGTTGGTTGCAGTATGCAGTGTTGGTTGCAGTATGCAGTGTTAATTGCAGTGTTGGTTGCAGTATGCAGTGTTGATTGCAGTGTTGATTACAGTATGCAGTGTTGGTTGCAGTTTTGATTGCAGAATGCAGTGTTGGTTGCAGTATGCAGTGTTGGTTGCAGTATGCAGTGTTGGTTGCAGTATGCAGTGTTGATTGTTGTCTGTTGTGTGCAGGTAACTCACCCGGGCCTGCTGAAGCTCAGTGGACTCAGAGAAGGAGTTTACACCTTCGAGATCACGGTCATCGACACGGCGGGACAGAAGAGCTCAGACAACGTGTCCGTCAGCGTGCTCGCCCCGGCCCCAAACGCACAGGGTCAGAACTGATCTCTGTTTAAAATCTCTCATTTGACATGTGTGCATGGAGGATTACTTCTGCTATATCGTACAGAGGTGAACAAAATTGCTAGTAACCTAAAGTAATGGCGGAAAAATATAGCCTAAAGGGGCTAAAAATATTGACCTTAAAAGGGATTTAAAAAAATTAAGAACTGATTTCATTCTAGCCGAAATAAAACAAATAAGACTTTCTCCAGAAGAAAAAACATTATCAGAAATACTGTGAACATTTCCTGAATCTGTTCAACATCATTTGGGAAATATTTAAAAAAGAAAAAACAATTCAAAGGGGGCGAATAATTCTGACTTCAACTGTATATTTGCATCCATTATTATGTGGGTTAATAACAGATTTTAGGCTGCATCTGAGTGGACGTGACACTGATGTGTGTGTTTCTCTGAAGTTTGCACAGGTCACTGTTCTCGCTATCAGTTCATGTGTGATGATGGCTGCTGTATCGACATTGGTTACGCCTGCGATGGAAAGCAGCACTGCCCTGACCGCTCAGATGAGGACTTCTGCCAGAACTGTAAGTCTGGTCCACCAAACCAGTCTACTGCAATCATCTCAAAACAGCTACCTATCATGCTAAAATCACTTTAAGAAGGGGTTTAAACACAGTTGTGTGTCAGCAGTGTGTGAATATATCCAGCCTCTAATGGTAAACATTCATTAAGTCTATTTGTTTATAATCAGACCTGATGAAAACAGTCTGCAGACACACTTTGATTGACATTCTCCCTTTGTACGTGTCATCAGAGGGGGAAAGCCCCGCCCACTAGTGACCATCTCTTCCTCATTAGCATATGACTTTAGTCTTGTTTTTGAATCTGCCACTATGCTGATGCACAGGCATCTGTAGCTCCGCCCTCTTCTGAAAACAGCACAATCTGATTTGCATTTAAAGCGACAGTCACCAAAACTCCACAATTAGAATCAAAGCCTGAAAGGGTGAGATTCAGAGAGTTATTAAACATTATCTGTGTGGTATTTTGAGCTAACACACTCTAGGCACATCAGAGATTTATTTTACATCTTGTAAAAGGGGCATCCTTGGTCTCCTTTAAATCTTTTAATGTGGATAAAAATGTTTGTTTTGCTGTGTAGTTGATAGTGGTCGTAAGTCCAGTTCCTCAAAACATGGAGCAGATCTACAGACTGAAGCTGCAGCACAGACCCCCACAGAGATGCAGCACACCGATATCTCCAAACCTGAAGCACACCAACATTACGGCTTCAGTAATCAAGGTAAGGCGTAAGAATCATTCAGAGATGCACACATGCACCTTTTTCAAAATTGTGGCACTGTCAAAATGAATATCGCATTATTTACTCACACTTTGTCAAGCAAAATGTGTATGCCTGATAGCTGGGACACACCAAGCCCTAGGTTGGACGTTGGACTTTGTCAGTCAGTCTGGGGTGCGTTTCCAAAAACCATTGTAAGCCAACTAAGGTCGCAAGTTGTGTCGTTACAAAGATAGTTTGCTGATTTTGCATTTCCCAAATCCACTGTTCCAATGAACAATTGCAAACTGCGTCGCAAACTTGAGCACTTGCAACTACACCTCTGGAGCTGTAGTTAGAAAGTTCCTGGCTGTGTTCAATTCCCAGTTATCCCCCCTATGCCCTATTCATTTAGAACAGTCTAACATTTAAACTTGGAATGATTAAAATAAAGCATTAAAGCCATCTCTCTTAGGTGTAATCTGCTTTCTAACTACTTTTACAGTTCTGTTTTAGCCATCTTCATGTTTACATTTGGGTTCACTTCGCAGTGCATTGTGAAAACATTGATGTCATTTTGAACACAGCCGTGGCTCATGACGAAAGCTATAGGTGACCTGTTATTTAAAAGCGGAAAACACAGCATTCGCTAATGCTTTTAATTTCATTAATTTTCTTGTCGGCTTAGTCCCTTTATTAATCCGGGGTCGCCACAGCGGAATGAACCGCCAACTTATCTAGCAAGTTTTTACGCAGCGGATGCCCTTCCAGCCACAACCCATCTCTGGGAAACATCCACACACACATTCACACACTACAAACAATTTAGCCTACCCAATTCACCTGTACCGCATGTGTTTGGACTGTGGGGGAAACCGGAGCACCCGGAGGAAACCCACGCGAAGGCAGGGAGAACATGCAAACTCCACACAGAAACGCCAACTGAGCCGAGGTTCAAACCAGTGACCTTCTTGCTGTGAGGCAACAGCACTACCTACTGAGCCACTGCCTCGCCCTTGCTTTTAATTTATAGTGGGTTATTTATTAAGTATCTGTGAGCACTATGCAGCAATGATCCATCCTAGTGAAGGCAGAACTGCTCAAAAACCCTCAGAGTTCACATCAGCTCCACAATTGCTCAGCAGTTTCCCTTTCACTCTCCTCCAGCAGCCTTTATTAACAAAGCCTCTCTATTTCTAGACATCTGATACCGTGTGAAGCACAAAAGCCTCTCTCTCTCTCTCTCTCTCTCTCTCTCTCTCTCTCTCTCTCTCTCTCTCTCTCCCTCTCTCTCCCTCTCTCTCTCTCTCTCTCTCTCTCTCTCTCTCCCTCTCTCTCTCCCTCTCTCTCCCTCTCTCTCCCTCTCTCTCTCTCTCTCTCTCCCTCTCTCTCTCTCTCTCTCTCTCTCTCTCTCTGTTTTTCTCTCTTTTTCTGTGCCTCTCTCTCTTCAATTTAATTCAATTCACAAACAGCTTTATTTGCAGTATTAAAAGAGCATTGCAGATTATATAAACAATGAATAAAACTGAAAGGTAATTATATAACACACACACACACACACACACACACACACATATATACAGCTAGATGCTCAAATATTTGGACATGGACACAATTCTAACATTTTCGGCTCTACACACCAACACAGAGGATCTGAAATGAAACCAACAAGATGTGCTTTAACTGCAGACGGTCAGCTTTAATCTGAGGGTATTCACTAATCAGGTGAACGCTGTAGCAATTACAACAGTTTGCATAAGTGCCTCCCGCTTGTTAAGGGTCCAAAAATAGTTGGACAGAATAATAATAAATCATTAAACCCAATAAAAATGATAAAACCCAAGCCATTCAAATATATGATGCTTCAAATGTGAAGACATGTCTGCGTTATTCTTGCTGTTAAGGAGTGTTTTATAGTGCTGAGAATGTAAGGACGTGTTTATGTAGTGTATGCTGTATGTATTTCTATATTTTAAAGAGCTCATAAAGAACTTAATTAGTTTTTTTAAAGGAATGTAATATGTTGATTTTCATTCATTCATTCATTTTCTTGTCGGCTTAGTCCCTTTATTAATCCGGGGTCGCCACAGTGGAATGAACTGCCAACTTATCCAGCAAGTTTTTACGCAGCGGATGCCCTTCCAGCTGCAACCCATCTCTGAGATATGTTGATTTTGTTTATTGTAATTACTCTCTCTCTCTCTCTCTCCCTGTGTGTGTGCATCAGATCCGTGTGCAGCGCCTCCAGTGGTCGGCCCGTGTAAAGGTGTTTTCCCTCGCTGGTATTATGACTCTGAAACGGGAATCTGCCAGCACTTCCAGTATGGCGGCTGCAAAGGAAACCACAACAACTTCCTGCAAAAGTCTGATTGTGTGAATGAGTGCATTCAGAAACCAAGTAAGACTTCAGCGCCTTCACCACCACCACCCTCATATTGACCTTATTCCTCATGTAAGAGCGGCCGCAGCCATTGAACAAAATTCACTTCTCATTCACTTCCGTTCATTTTCACATGTTAAAACAGCTCGTTCTGCTGCTTGATGTTGCAAACTAATATTTTCTTATGATGTTATTCTACTTTTCATGTATAGTCATGCACACGTTTGTTTGTAGAGCGAGTAGTTTGATCGTTTTCTGCCGTTTATTATTCCGATTCAGTCGAAATGACTTGGAAGTTTTAAAACAATGGCAAAAGCGAGCGCACTTCAGCATTGTAGAATAAGGTCAATGTAGTGTCCTTCAGTATCGTTCTTCAGTCTTTGTTCAGATTTCATCTGTGTTTCAGTGTTTATAACTGCTAATCATTGCGTAGACACTAGTTGGAGCAAACTGGAAATGACATGTTTTAAATGTAATCGAGCTCAAGCAGCAGCAGTAATGGGACAGGTCACTTTAGATTTTGTTGCTGGTTAAAAATAGATGGTTTAATTGAAAGTAAAGCGAGCAGCGTTCCAGATTTCCCAGTTCATTAGATAGGGCTTTAGTCTTAGATGAGCTGCCTGAAGGTGCTGACTAGTGTAGGATTTTAGTGACTTTTCTCAAGAGACTATTTGTTAATAATCTGAAAATTTTGCATTTGATAGTAATAATCTAGGAAAAGTCTGTAAAATAACAGTGTTTCTCTATAAACATTTTAATGAAATTATCTGTAGATTTATTATTTTTTGCACTTTTTTTCAACAAAGAAATTTTACCTTAATTTTATGGTTTTTGTTTGGCAGCCGTAGCTGCCAGTCATTTGACCTTTTTTTACGATTTATTTTTATTTTTTTACAGAGCAAGTAATTACAATTTATTACTTTAATTTTACGTAATTTTAAATGTACTTAAAAAACAGGAAAAAACACTGTAAATAATACGTCAATGTTTTTGTAAAAAACAGAAAAATTGCTGTAATTTGTCATTACTTATATAGTACATAAAATAACAGTCAAGCCGTTAATTTACAGATATTGTTTGTAATTTTTACGAACTTTTGAATATAATTTAAAATAACAGAAAAAATACTGTATAAATAACACTGTAATTTCCCTGTATAAAAAACACAAATGTCAGTAATTTGTCTTTAATAATAAAGTACCTAAACTGAAAGTCAAACGGTTAATTTAGAGAGATTGGTTGTCATTTTACTAAGTTTTGAATATAATGTGAAATGACAAAAAATTACTGTAAAAAAGTAGGATATTTTCTGTAAAATTAGGTTTTTATTTTACAGTGTAAACTAAAACTAAATAATTTCTAAAAATAGAAACTAATAAAAACTAGAAAATCTCCCTCTAAAAACTAATTAAAGCTGAATTTAAAAACAAAAAGTCAAAACGAAATAGAAACTAAAACTAATGAAAAATCCAAAACTGTTATACCCTCGGCATGCAGTTGTAGTAGTATTTAGCTTAAAATCGACGAAATGTGTTAAAGGGATCATCAAAATAAAGTGATACCAAGGTTTTTTTGGTAACGCTTTACAATAAGGTTCATTAGTTAATGCATTTACTAACATGAACTAATCATGAGCAACACTTGCATTTATTAATCATAATTAAACATTTACTAATGCATTATTAACATCCAACTCCATGCTTGTTGACATTAGTTAATGCACCATGAACTAACAATGAACTACTGTATTTTCATTAACTAACGTTAACTAACATGAATAAATACTGTATTAAATGTATTGTTCATTCCCGTTAGTAAATGCATTAATTAACATTAACTAATGAACCTTATTGTAAAGTCTGACCGATTTTTTTAAACTGTGATCGCCGTGACTCTGAAAAGGCTTGTGTTTTCTGTCTTTCAGCAGTTGCAAAACATCAGACGACGGCAACTCCGTTATTCAGCTTCAAATCATACACAAGTATGTTCAACATTATCACTTCTCACATAAAGATATTGCATGAAATCCTTTAAAAAAGGCTTTAATTTCAAAGTTTCTGAGTTTCCTTTAAAGAAAATATTGTGTAAAAGCCAACGTGGCCTCTCTCTATCCTGTATGCAGCTCCTGTGGCCTCTGTTCATCAGGAAAAACGGCCAAATCCTCTCTTAGACTCGCAGAATTCACTGGCAGAAAGGAAAACACAGCGTCTGCTGGAGGGACACCCGCCTCCTGAATCAGGTGTGTGACATGCAGAGACACTGCTGGAGAAAACACCATCACTTCTGCAATTAAAGATGAGGCGGATCTTCCCTTTCATCATCGTCTCCTTCATCTTATGATTATTCTCCTCCTCCTCATCACCCCTTCTCTTCGTTCTTCTTCTCCTTGTCCTCCTCTTCAGGGTTTGCTGTGTAGTGTTGCTCCTCTGCTGCTCTCAGTTGTGTCGAGTGCTTATTGGAGTTACTGGTTATCCTCTATAATCTGACATCAGGCTTTCTCGCCCACATAACACTGCGCTTGTGTGTTTCTCTGTGTGTGTGTGTGTTTATCTGTGTGTGTGTGTGTAGGTGCGATCCTGCCGCTGGCCTTCGGTCTGCTCATCAGCGCTCTGCTCTTGCTGATGGTGGGCTGCCGGCTCTTCCTCGTGCGCCGCAGGCTGAAGAAAGCTCTGCCTCTGACCACAGAAGAGTCCGACTACCTCATCAACGGCATGTATCTGTAGCAGCGCAGACCAAAGCCAGCCTCCAGTCTGCTGAGTGTGTGTGTAGAGGCTGAAGAAGATGTCGGGTTAATGGCACTGGAGGCAGAACCTCCTCCTGGGTTTGGACGCAAGTTACATCTCAGTGATGAAGTATTGAGCATATTCTGCACTCGTTTTTGCGATGGACCCTTTTCACAAGGCTGTTATGAGGCATTTAGCACTCATCAGCATCTGAAATCCTTTAAACTTTTAAATATTTTGACATAGGAACATTTATATGCATTTCAAGAGTTCACCCTTAGCTGATGATTGATCATGAAGCGTGTTTGGCATGCTGTCCCGAGAGAGAGCCCTGAGCTCATAAGATCCTTGAGCTCAGGGCTCCCTCCCGTTTGCAGGGCGAGAGGGGAGTTTGAGCTTAGGTAGATGTGGAGAACTTCCCTGCTGTAGTAGCTCATGAACAGATAGTGATCGCTCTTAAGAGATAACTACTGACTAGGAGCATGTCTATGGTGCTGGATTAGTCAATTAACTTAAGCTGCATGTTTGAAATCAGGAAACCCGGGGGAAACCCACGTAAACATGGGGAGAACGTGTAAACTCTGCACTGAAACATCGGCTTGGTAAGGACTAGAACCCGGATGTTCTTGCTGTGAGGCAACAGTGCTAACCACTGGGCCACCGTGCCACCCATCTAGGAAAGGAGGAAGTGCATGGGATTTCCTTAAAACGAAAATGGCTGTGATATTGAGCTTGGGGTATTTATAGTGGCTTGGGAATCGTCTGATTGGTCAATCATAGATTGGATAATGCAGCACCGGCTGTGATCAATCATAAGCACGTAATCCTCTCCAAATTATTTTATAAATAAACTTCACTCATGTGTGTATACTATATGATCTTTGCATCAAATGACAAAAAATAAGCGAGTGGGGGCAAGACAGTAAATCTGACATTAGTCTCTGACTTTATTTGTTTTCCTTTTTCTGAAAGTCTTGATAACACCATCCTGGAGTTTTTATTTTATTATTACTATTATTATACTGAGCTCTGAGTTGACCAGATATGATGACTTCTGCTGCTGGGGAAATGTGAAAAGGGTCCATTGTTTTAATATTTCTGATTCAGCTATATAGTGTGGCAGATTGCGTTTACTCAATCTTTCATCGTGGTACCTTGATTAAACCATCAAACATGTAGTCGGTGCACTATTTCTTGCATTTGTGCATTATATTGATCTAAAATTAGCCAAATTAATTTTAAAAGTGGCTAAAAGTTGCCAAATTAATGTTAAAAATGGCTAAAAGTTGCCAAATTAATGTTAAGAGTGGCTAAAAGTAGCCAAATTAATGTTAAAAGTGGCTAAAAGTAGCCAAATTAATGTTAAAAAGTGCTAAAAGTTGCCAAATTAATGTTAAGAGTGGCTAAAAGTAGCCAAATTAATGTTTAAAGTGGCTAAAAGTAGCCAAATTAATGTTAAAAATTGCTAAAAGTAGCCAAATTAATGTTAAAAGTGGTTAAAAGTAGCCAAAATAATGTAAAAAAATTGCTAAAAGTGGCCAAATTAATATTAAAAGTGGCTAAAAGTGGCCAATTAATATTAAAAGTGACTAAAAGTAGCCAAATTAATGTTAAAAATTGCTAAAAGTAGCCAAATTAATGTTAAAAGTGGCTAAAAGTGGCCAAATTAATGTTAAAAGTGGCTAAAAGTAGCCAAATTACTGTTAAAAATGGCTAAAAGTGGCCAAATTAATGTTAAAAGTGGCTAAAAGTAGCCAAATTAATGTTAAAAATTGCTAAAAGTGGCCAAATTAATGTTAAAAATGGCTAAAAGTAGCCAAATTAATGTTAAAAATGGCTAAAAGTGGCCAAATTAATGTTAAAAATGGCTAAAAGTAGCCAAATTAATGTTAAAAATGGCTAAAAGTGGCCAAATTAATGTTAAAAATGGCTAAAAGTGGCCAAATTAATGTTAAAAGTGGCTAAAAGTAGACAAATTAATGTTAAAAATTGCTAAAAGTAGCCAAATTAATGTTTAAAAATTGCTAAAAGTAGCCAAATTAATGTTTAAAAGTGGCTAAAAGTAGACAAATTAATGTTAAAAATTGCTAAAAGTAGCCAAATTAATGTTAAAAATTGCTAAAAGTAGCCAAATTAATGTTTAAAAATTGCTAAAAGTAGCCAAATTAATGTTTAAAAATTGCTAAAAGTAGCCAAATTAATGTTTAAAAGTGGCTAAAAGTAGCCAAATTAATGTTAAAATGGCTAAAAGTAGCCAAATTAATGTTAAAAATTGCTAAAAGTAGCCAAATTAATGTTTAAAAGTGGCTAAAAGTAGCCAAATTAATGTTAAAAATTAATTTGGCTACTTTTTTATTTTGGAAGTATACATGGCCCTAGATTGACTCCATACTCCAGTGTTTTACTTCTGCACTATGGAACTCAGTGGTCGATTCCTCCAACAGAAGATAAAGTCTCATACAGGTTTAAGCCAGATGACGGAGAGTAAATGATGAGGTAAATTTCACTTTTGTGTGAACTATATCCCTGAACACTGAATTCAGAATGTTTCTGTATGAATGCAGAATGAGTTCAAGATGTTGACGAGGAGTCTCTGTCCAGGGGAAGAGGTTAAACTGATAAAAGCACTCGTGCCATCTTATTTCAGCTTACATTAAAGCAGACTCTGACGTGGACTCAGTGGTTTAAACATGGCCTTATTTCTGGATGTAGTTCTGATGAAGATCTCAGTGTGTTTTTACTGTGAGATTAAACACTAGACTGTATAATTGGTGTAACTGTGCTATAATGTTTGAATCTATATATGTATATGATTGTAAAAAGAGTCTTGGAGAAATTCATTTTAAATATATATATTAAAAAATGGACCTACTACAAAAGTATCCAGTTTTTCATCAGATTCACATTTATTCACATGCATAAACGCGAGTGTTCATCTCTTCAGAATGCTCTGGATTACACATCTGTTAATGAACAGTTTCTGGATTTTGCGATTCACAAGTGTTTGTTTGCGGTTGTGAATTGTATTACGCACTGAAGAGACTGATTCAATGATGATTCTGTGGATTTGCTACATTATTTTTAAAGGTAAGTGGTTGCAAACAATTTAATTGGGCTGAATTTAAACAAAGTTGAACAGTACTAAATGTATTTAGTTTAAATTCAACACATGAAGGACAAGTAGAATCATTTGAAGAATAAACTCTCGCTCTTTTATATTAAAGTACTGTACTTAATCTGTGTGGTAACTCTTTACTTTCTATAATAACACAACAACTATAGTCATCGTACAAACAAATGACCCAATACTGTAGTTTTCGACAATATTATACTACAATACACAGATAACTGTAGTAAAAACGTAAGGTATATACAGTATCTAATACAGATTATCTGTACGCTACACTGTTAAAATATTTTGTAGGGCAAATTGCTGCAGAGCTTTCCTACTTGACAACATTTCAAGAGTTCACCCTTAGCTGATGGGTGATTTTAAAGCGTGTTTGACATTCTGTCCCGGAAGAGAGCCTTGAGCTTAAAATATCCTCGAGCTCGGGGCTCCCTCCCATTTGCAGGGCGAGAGGGGAGTTTGAGCTCAGGTAGATGTGGAGAACTCCCCTGTTGTAGTAGCTCATGAACAGATAGTGATCGCTCTTAAGGGATAACTACTGACTAGGGGCATGTCTATGGTGCTGGATTAGTCAATTAACTTAAGCTGCATGTTTTTGGACGGAGGGATAAAACCAGGGAACCCGGGGGAAACCCACGTGAGCACGGGGAGAACGTGTAAACTCCGCACAGAAATGTCGGCTGGCTTGGTAAGGACTAGAACCGGTGATGTTCTTGCTGTAAGGCAACAGTGCTAAGCACAGGGCCACCGTGCCACCCATCTAGGAAAGAAGGAGAAGCAGGGGTGGATTCTTCAAAACGAAGATGGCTGAGATATGGAGCTTAGGTTATTTTAACGTAATTGTAACTTCACGGCAATTCGTAACTTTTTGATTTAGTGAGTAATTCGTATGATCTGATTCGTACAATTTAGAACGATTTGATCACCACCCAATGACGGTTGAGGTTAGGTGCCACGCCTCCTTTTTAAAATGGTAAATTTTCGTACAGCTAAACTCGTACGAATTAGCCACTAAACTGACAAAACGTAAAATACTTTAATTTAGTGGCTTAGGAATCGTCTGATTGGAGAATCATAAATTAGATAATGCAGCACCGGCTGTGATCAATCATAAGCACGTGATCCTCTCCAAATCAGTTTATAAATAAACTTCACTAATGGAGTCAAGTCAACTCTAAAAAGCTGTTCCCTCACAGTTTTTTAGTTGAAAGTTATTTTAAGTGTCAATACTACAGTTCACAGTAGCATTCATTAACAAAGAGTATATATGAGCAATATCACACGAGTAGCTGTGCTATATGGCTGTATATCAGCACTGGTGGGAGGCGTGCGTTAGTGCCCCCACCAGTGCCGATATACAGCCATATTGCACTGCTACTCGTGTGATATTGCGTTTATACACCAGTTTGACGGCAAAATTGTGTATATAAAAACAAAATCAAACATGGAGAGTCTAAAAACCCTTTTGTATGAGGAACTACTTTCTTCCGCGTTGGATTCAGATCATAAGCTGACAGTTAAACAGTTGAGCAAGCATCTTTTACACTTCAGATCTGTAGTGTCTGCTTTTTGCTGGCTGTATGTGGGCGGAGTAATACACAAAGGGTAAAGAGGCTGTACGGGTGCTGATATTACTTAAATATATCACGGCTATCAACCAATCAGATTCTAGAACCAGACATAACTGTTGTATAAACTATAATACATACAACACAATACACTGACCAGGGGCGGACTGGCCATCTGGCAATTCTGGTAAATGCCAGAAGGGCCGGACCATTTTTTAAATGTGGGCTGGTCAGCTATTTTTATTTTTTTTTCATATGTATTGTTTTTTAAATGCAGTCAGCTTTTATCTCATGAGAGATGTGAATATTATGATGATGATGGTGATAATAGTAAGAATAATAGTAAATGTTAAGCATCGGCCCAATCAGCAACAACTGGCTGGTTTCGAGATGGGCCGACCCAATCTGAGGTTACGCAGACACAATCAAAATCTGGCAAGAATGTCAAACAAACAGTGAGTCCAACACAAGCTAATTGTCAGAGATGGACCATAAAAAGGGAAAGGCAGTCAAGTCAGACATTGCCAATTACATAAAATTAACTGAACTAGTCTCAAAAGGGGGCAGTGCAGTGGCGCAGTAAGTAGTGCTGTCGCCTCACAGCAAGAAGGTCACTGGTTCGAGCTTCATCTGGGTCAGTTGGTGTTTCTGTGTGGAGTTTGCATGATTGTGTGGGTTTCCTTCACAAGTCCAAACACATGCTATAGATGAATTGGGTAGGCCAATTGGTAATTAGGTAACCCAGTAATGGGTTGCAGCTTTGAGGGCATCCACTGTATTAAACATATGCAGGATAAGTTGGCAATTCCCAGATTAATAAAGGTACTAAGCCGAAAAGAAAATGAATGACATGATTGCATACATGCATGGGTTGTTTTTGTTCCAGTCACATACATTAAATGTTTAAATATCTCTTAAATATGTTACTGCTTATATAATTTTACCATCTGTACACCAATATAAGTAGTGAATGTGCGTGTCCTTGGTGTGGCTACAGTGCCAGGGCTGATTTTTAGTCCCAGTCCGCCCCTGACTGTGCCTGTGCTATATTCTTTATAGTGTACTTTCATGTGTGACTGCACCCTGCACTAAAATATCCACACACCTCGCTCATATTCACAACCTGAAAAAAAGTGAACGCAACCCATTTAGCTGGATTGAACATAAACAATCAAGTTGCATCAAATAAATCTCAAGAATTGCGTTGTTTTGGCTGATTTTAAATAAGCAGTTCGAACAGGCATCAAAATATTAATTTATTTTTTGGCCTTTATTAGGACAGGAAGCAAAGTGAGAGAGAGAGGGGGGTAGGGTTGGGAAATGTCCTTCAGCTGGGATTTGAACTCGGGATGCCCTGACGTGCTACTGCACCATATGCCGGCGCACTAAACACTAGGCTATTGTGCCAACAATATATTAATAATTTTTTAGTGTGAAGCTGGTTGCGAAGCAAAACACAACGCAAACATCCATTTAGTTTATTAATTTTTGTCTGTCAGACTCCATGAAGGAAAACACGAGCGAATGAACAGATCATTGCTTAGCAGTGAGTTTATTGGTTGAAAGCCGTTTGTGCGTGCGGGAAACACACAAACATGCACAGAGAATTGCCATTGAAAACTGCTTACAATCAGAAAACCAGCGCTGGAGGTTCAGCGCAGTCCTGTACGCGAGTGCGGGTCTGTGTGGGACTTGCTGCTGTTTTAGATAAGAGACAAGCTTGTGATGAGAAACACATTAAAGAGGAGTGAAATAGTGTCGTTTTTTGCTCCGCTTGATTTTCCCTTTGCAGTTCTTTGTTTTTGTTAGCAAAATTTATATTTATTTCTCAAAAAATAATTTTCCCTTTGCGCTTCTTAGAGATTTAAGAGGTAATTAAGAGGTATTAGTTTGAAAAAAAAAAACAATTAGATCAAAGCTTGAAGATTTACCAATCCAAATTTTCTATTTTGATAAAAGTACCTTAGAAAAGTAGTGTTTAACCAAATAAATGTAAAGTTGTTGTTTCCCTGCTACAAAATCCAGCTTAAACCAGCCTAGGCTGGTTGGCTGGTTTTAGCTGGTCAACCAGGCTGGTTTTAGAGGGGTTTTGGCCACTTCCAGGCTGGTTTCAGCCATTTCCAGCCTGGTCTTAGCTGGTCAGGCTGGAAAATGACCAGCTAAATCCAGCTAAAACCAGCTTGACCAGCCTGGTTTAAGCTGGACATAGCTGGTTTTGGCTGGGCTCCCAGAAATGGGAATGGAAATGGCTGGAAACCAGCCTGGAAATGGCCAAAACCCCTCTAAAACCAGCCTGGTTGACCAGCTAAAACCAGCCAACCAGCCCAGGCTGGTTTAAGCTGGATTTTTAAGCAGGGTTTACATTTCAACAGAACTTATTTTAGAGCAGTAATCGCAATACTGTGATATTTTAATCCAAGGTTATCATACTATCAGAATCTTATACCGGCCCATGCCTCATAGGGTGTAAATCTTCATTTTTGGGTGAAACTAACCCCTTAAGGAGGTTTACTTTAAGACAGGGGTGTCAAACTCAATTCCTGGAGGGCCGAAGCCCTGCACAGTTTAGTTCCAACCCTGCTCCAACACACTTACCTGTAGGTTTCAAACAAGCCTGAAGGACTCAATTAGTTTGATCAGGTGTGTTTAATTAGGGTTGGAACTAAACTGTGCAGAGCTGCGGCCCTCCAGGAACTGAGTTTGACACCTGTACTTTAAGAGCATCCCATCCCTGCTGAAAAATCCAGCTTAAACCAGCCTAGGCTGGTTGGCTGGTTTTAGAGGGGTTTTGGCCATTTCCAGGCTGGTTTCCAGCCTGGTCTTAGCTGGTCAGGCTGGGAGATGACCAGCTAAAACCAGCTTGATCAGGCTAGCCAAGCTGGGAGTCCAGCCAAAACCAGCTATATCCAGCTTAAACCAGGCTGGTCAAGCTGGTTTTGGCTGGTCATTTTCCCAGAAAATGGAAAAACAGCCTGGAAATGGCCAAAACCCCTCTAAAACCAGCCTGGTCAACCAGCTAAAACCAGCCAACCAGCCTAGGCTGGTTTAAGCTGGGTTTTTCAGCAGGGATAAGCACTGGAAAAGAATCATTCTAACACAGGGGTGCTCAACCCTGTTCCTGGAGAGCCACCTTCCTGCAGATTTCAGTTGCTACCCATATCAAACACACCTGAACCAATTAATTAGGACCTGAACACCACGTGATAATTACAGGCAGGTGTGTTTGATACGGGTAGCAACTGAAATCTGCAGGAAGGTAGATCTCCAGGAACAGGATTGAGCACCCCTGTTCTAACACATCTCTCACAGCATCTTTACCCAATACTCCAGCAGCACATGCTCCAGCTGAAAACACGAGCCGTTTCTCTGAACACAGACCTGCAGAGCAGAAGAGATCCCTACACATGATGCAGCGGTGAGTTATGTTTTAATAACAGGCTGGATTCAGCACAAGGGCCGATCCGGTGTTCTGTTTACAAGCTGAGATGCATGAACAATCCCACTGACTGTAATACTGAAGTGATCACAAGAAAAAAATGATGCACCTGCGCGTCAATAAGAGAGAGAGAAGAACAAAAAACTGCATTCACACAATTCTCAAACTGCAGGCGTGACGTCTTCAGCCCGACTCCACCTTTTTAAATAAAATATTCAACGCTTCCGTCTTTCATGACCGTCACAGGTATGAATATAGAGCATTTATACAAGCTCTCCTCGGTGTAGTCCATTTGTGTGTGTGTGTGTGTGTGTGTGTGCGCGCATGTAGTGTGATGAGTATTGCCGGACCATCCTTTCAAAGTTCATCCCTAAAAAACAAACAAACAAACAGAGTTACTATGGATATGAAAGATACACACAACAACTTCACCACTAGCCGTGTTTCCATCCCAAGATGCAGATTAGATTTATGTGCAGACCCGGAATATCGCATAAAGCATTACTGAGTAAAGCAGCGTTTGCATGCAATGAGAGAAGGAGAACAAAATGTTCACTTGCTGATAAACTGGAGCAAATATCAGCCAGAGGAATGTAGTTTAGTGTGTTTGGAGAAGCCACTGTGGTGTTTCTTCTTCTCTAGTAAATGAGTTGCGCTTCAGAAGATGAAGACGGAATGCAATGCAGTGCTTTTGGAGGCGTGTGAAGCTCTTTGGGAGCTCAGACAGATGCTCAAGACAGTTCTGGAGGGAATAATAATAGAGTAATAATGATACTGAAGCACTGTGGTGATGGACTGACGACTGAGGAGTTTTAGAAATCAATATTTCAGATGTTCTGCAATGTGCTGGAAATGCTCGTTTACTCCATCATACACATTTTAATCATCACAAGATCTGATAAAACAAACTCACTTGATTTTTGTTTGCATGCTGGAATTTATTTAGCGAAAGTGTTTTAATCAGAGTTCATGCAAACTCATTTTCAAAATGTATGCGCATCTCGGCATTTCAATCAAGCATGTAAGAAAGTTTATGCGGTACTCCAAAATGCACATAAACATGGCAGGATGGAAACACAGCAGCACACTGCTTAAACAACACATGCATAAATGAGTTTCAGCAGTCATAAGTGCCTCAAGGCTGTGTTCAAACTGATCACAATTTATTTTAATTTTAGGACTGACGGTATACACTGCTAATGAAATGAGGTTCAGCACCACTCTATATCTGCTGAATCTACACACCTCCTAGATACTTCCGTCAACAAAAACAACAACAACAGAATCTAATTGTGGATGCATTTTTCTTTAACCTCTTAAGGCCCAAGGTGTTTTTTACATGCATTTTTATTTCTCTTTGCTATTTGGGCTTATTGGAACCTAATCAGAATAAAACCTAAGTATCATCTTTTAATATGATGTACTTCTAGAGAAAAATGTGGACTTGATATGTCCATAAAACTATTTTCCTGACTGCTTTTAATGCATTAATAACACACACATATTTTTTGAACATGTTTTGACTATCAGAGAGTAAAAGTTAAAAATAGTGTTGGAGACATTTCATTCGCTGCAAAACAGCTGCAGGATGACTGTATGTCTGAGACTAAATATAAAACATGCAATGTATTTTAAACAGCCACTTTAACCAGTTAAACTCTGCTGCTATTTTGGGATTTCCGCCGGGATTTTGCCTACCCAAATTTAAAAGCTTCCCAAATCCACATGCAGAGGTGTAAATGCAAAAGTTTGGTATCATTTTAAAGAAAACCCTTTGAGTTTTCATGAAACACTATTGAAAGTGTTTAAAACATCTGTATATGTCGTCTGTGTTATAATAAACACCTAAAAAAGAGGCGCTTTTTGTATGTTTTTTTGATAAACTCAAATTTATAAGTGCACCTTTTATGTTCTGTGTGCTCTAGCGTGCTGTAATTAATGTTGGTGGTTCCTGCACATGTCTGTAATCATAGGAAAAAGAAAAACGTCTCCACCATAATCTATGCAGAAGTTCTTGTATTCCAACTGATGAGAGGTGCTGTACAAGCCACAGGGATCATCATTGTGTTCATATTTCACTATTCTTCTGTTTGATCAAACATAATTCACTGTGTTTGGAGCACGTCAGAC